AATCGAACCGCTTCTGAAGCGGATTGTGAGGATGAAAAATGGGTCACTTACGACAACATCGAGCACAAACGGTAGTGGTCAAAGCTCGGAGAAACGGCCCAGGCGGTGGCCAAGACCGGATTGACGGCCAGGAAGGTTTTGCTGTGTGTTTGGTGGAATTGGCAAAGAACATACGAGCTACTAACCTTAGGCCAAACGCTCAATACAGCCTTCTACTGCCAACAAATGGACCGCTTGAAGGTAGCACTCATCCAGAAGAAGCCATCTTTGATCAACAGAGGCCGAATTTCGTTCCATCAGGACAACGCCGGGCCACACACGTCTTTGGTGATGCGCCAGAAGCTCCATGAGCTCGGATGGCAGGTCCTAATGTACCCACCTTATAGTTCGGACCTGGCACCAAGTGATTACCATCTTTTTCTGTTTAAGGCGAACGCACTTAATGATGAGAAGTTGGCCTCAAGACAGGCCTGTGAAAATAGGCTCTCCGAGTTTTTTGCCAATAGGGACGCAGCCTTCTACCATAGGGGTATAATGAAGATGGCATCTCGTTGACGACAAATTTAACACAAAACGGCGCATATTTGACTTAAATCGGACAAATGTACGCAAAATTATCATATTTTGAAAAGTCGATAAAATAAACCGAATATATATATGTGGCACTTTGTAACGGCTGAAACGACTTTCGGCCGAGCTCGTCCTCCAATTTTTGGTTTTGCGTCTTGATATTATTCCAACAAATGGAGGGAACTACAGTTTATATTAAGCCGCCTCCGAACGGTTGATGGTTTTTTAGGAGGACCTTTTATTTCATTTCAAAAATACACCCGAAGGTGTTGACATTCCCAGCCGAGGGCGACCGCAACTAGAAAAACGTACTTAATTTTTAGTTTCATTAAATTTTTATCGTAGCAGGACCCTAACCCTGACCTTCCGAATGGCAATAAGCAGTAACCCCTTGGCTATCACGGCCGCCGGAATAATTGATTTTAAATTTTCAAATGAATGTAATTGCTTTTATGGAAGATAAAGATCATATGGGAGTCAAATTGAAACGTTTAAAAATTTCCTTATCGCCTAATCTTATTTGTGTTGCTTACCACAGTGGCATAAAGGAAACTGGAAAGCGGGTTGACTGAGGCAGATCTAAGAATGTAAGAGTCACACGAAATGTTTTCTATAGAAACAAGAAAATATCCAATCTAACAGAGTTCGGAGCGTACATTGGCTGGAGTTGTGAAAACGAATATATCCTAATTTTCCAGCCTGTAGGCTGCAATATCACGGTATCACCAATATAAATGTTCAATGTCAAGTGGCAAATACTTGTATTGCGATAAATTACTTTTAATGGTAATCATTCCAAGATTCGACGATTGCAAGGGCGTAAAGTAACCCAAGCATTAAAGAGGCACACATGCGCACATACACATAGCCATGCATTTACTTAGAGATTTTTTACAAGCAGCGAGCAAACAAGCGATTGCAAAAATGGCGACGTTCAAACAAATGAAACTACTTTTTTTTAAGTTAATTTCCCAAAGGGTTCTTAGCGTGTGTCGCACAAAAATTAATAACTGCAAATGTGAGGCCAACTGTATGAAGTTACTCGTATATACGAAAGGACATGACACACTCAGACGCACATTCATTATACATTGTCCTACTTGACACACACACACTCAACTCACACTCAACATGGCTTTGCAACGCCATTCAACGGTCCGGCGACTATTTTTTCCGCTTGGCTAAATTTGTTTACATTTGCGCATTTTTTCCAAACACACGTGTGTACATTCATATGTATGCCGAAATAAACATTTGTAGGCAAATATATATCTTATATGTATTCCCACTCATAATTTCATTTCATTTCGCAAGTCTCTCCCACTACTTTGCACTTTGGTCTATCATTTTCATGCCCATTTAATATATATGTATGTATATATACATGCATATTTTTATCCTAGCACATCTTCCCAGTATATTGTCGTTGCCGTTGCCGTTGCCGTTGCCGTTGAATGTGGTTCGTTGGACACCTGGTAAGGCGCTGTGTGGCTTTCGTGACTCTTTGTTGACTTTAACCAACACTGATGGTGGCGTGCAACGCCACGTTGCTGAATGCAGCCGAGCGTATCGACGTCGACTTCGATGGTCGCCGCGCTAGCGACAACCCAAGTGACTGGACATCGTGTGAACGCCCAGCGGCTCTACAGGTCGTAAGAGCAGCGTAGAAATTGCCAAATGGCCTACTGGTGCGTTGGAGCATTGGAGCGTTGGTGCGGGCAACGCTTTGGGAATCTTACAGCACCATGGCAGCCGTTTTATTTGTTCTGATTCTATTCATTTGCAGTACAAAAATATGCACATAACATGCATACACATGTACATATATACTCGTGTTCTGTACAACTGATGGATGGTAAAAAGTGAGTACTACAACACATCTTCAGCAACTTCAATTAGTAAGCAATAAGCGTTTGTCAATCGGACACAGGCAAACGCGTTTTATGCCATAACTGCCGATGAACTGCTTCATTGACACCGCCAAACAGAAGGCTTCAGTTGTTACGTTCTACATGAGTCGCCACGAATTGTCCGCTGGGGATTAATTACACCTCAAGGCATAATTAGTTTTTATTTGGTCGCAAACAAGGGAATGTTAAACAAGACAAAGCTTTCAGGTTAAATATTCTACTCTGTATTGGTTAGCGCTTGCAGTATGTTGCTTTAATATTTTGCTGTTGTAGTCACGTAGTTGGTGCCACAAATGGGCGTGCTATTATGCGGAGGTTCTGGGTCTTAGCCAGACCTTTCTCTTATTCTCTATTGGCCTAAACGCCCCTTACGTGATTTTAGCTGAGTTAACAACAGCGAGTTATTCGGGTTTTCTCTTAGTTTTTTAACGGAGTGAAGATTTTTCTCTTCCTCTACCTCTTCGATATAATCTAGCGAGCGCAACCACTCTCTTATCTTGCTTAATTTGTTGAACTATGTCAATGTCATCGTAAATTTCGTACAGCTCATCAGAGTTCCATAAACCTTTCTTTCAAAAAAGCCAAACGCTGACTCATAAGATCACATCATCTACTCATCTACGCCATCTGTAGAACTTGGCCGTTGTACTTCGAAAGAAGTAGTTCCTGTGGGCAAAAGAGATTATACTTTGTACTTCCAGATAGACGAAGATATCTGCGAGTACAAATGTTTGTAAACAGTGCCGTGAGAGCGAATACGCGAGTACGCTGTCTGTTGTCCTCGTTCACCAAGCTTCCTTATTCCATTTGTATAAAGCAGAGCTAACAGTGTGGCTGTTGAAGCGGATAAAGTCATCATCGGCATTCGTCAGAAGTTACATGGTGTTATAAAAGATTGTTACCCTCTCTATGTGGCTTCACAGCTCGTATTATTTTCATCAACATAAAATTAACGAAGTATCGAACGGCTCGGAGAGGTCCTTCTCAATCCGGACAAGCCCGTATAAGTTTGGCGGGGATTCGACATTCAGACATAGCCCTTTTTTCGTACTATCCAATATTTGGCGGTAGTGAAAACAAGTACCCGGTCGATTGTAGGTTTGCCTAGTCTGAAGGTCTTATCAGTTCCAATCAGTTCATTGACGATGAGCTTTATTTTTACTCCCAATACGCCTGATAGGATTTGATGAGACGTATAACACTATAATTTGTGCAGATGGGACCCCAATCGTCGAAATTTACTTCTTCTGACCAAATTCTGCAATGAAGCTGATACGTGCACTAAGTCAGTTTTTCACTGCCATATTTGAAAGCTTAACCGGCTTCCACCGCTATGTTGTTCTCCAGGTATGCAATTCCTATTCAATGGTTATGATTAGAAGATTTCGTTCGTGGTTTTCTATGTTTCTTTTCAGTTCCAGCCTGCTCTCCATAAATTTCGTATACTCAGAGCATCAGTCGCTATAGTGATTATAATTAATATTTTTTTTTATAGAAAAATCTTTAATTGTCGTCGTACTGGCGAGAGCAAGATTTTTTCTAAAAAATATAAGTAAAGTTTTCCCAAGCCTATCATACGTAATTACCTGCAAGGCGAGTTAAGGTAGTAGTCACCTTTGAACCCCCATTTTCAGCTATTTTTTTGGAAAGGGAAGGAAATTTTTACAGCAAACGGAATTTTCAGACAATAATGCACTAGATTTAAGCTTCAAGAAAACCATTTTTCGCATGAAAAAATGTTGGAATGTGTGATGAGTTTTCTGCAGCGACTGCAGTTTGAACTCATGAAACGATGCCGTAAATGGAGGTCCTGAGATGCATGTGAAAAAGTCGAATCAATTTTTTTTTTTAATTTTTGTGAGTGTCTCTTCTATATTAACTATAAAAATACCGAAGAAGTTGGAAAATTTATCTAACTTTTTAGTTCAACTAGGAGATAATTTAATACTGAAGCTAAATCACTTTAATTTTTTCGATCGGACGTGCATATGTATGTATATTCTTTTTGCTGTTACCGGCACGAATTCTAATACTTGTAAAAATGCAAACTCGAGAAAACGCTCTCCAAAGTTCTGTCCGAGCATTCGAACCTGCTCAACGCTCGGCCACTAAAACTGCTATAGCTTGTAAAATATGTCGAATTGGCCACTCTTGGATAGTTTTAGAACATATTTAAGAAAAAAAAATGGATTTTTTGAAGCCACTAAAGTAGACTGCTGACTTAACTTAAAGAAAACATCTTTGATTTGACAATTAAATTTGGAGTTGTCAAAATACAGTCTTGCACTTTTAACAACATGAAATGGGGCACCCTATATATTATTCCCCTTTTGACTTCTGTAAGCTTTAATTTCAAAATAACTTTCGTACAATCTAATCCACTTGCTCTCGTTCTGATAAAAGCGATTGAGGCGAATCGTTGAAAACGGCCTTTGCCTGAATTTATGAGTCAAAATTTTCAAAAATTGTGTCTGTTTTGCTTTTAGTTTAAAACATTTCAACAATTTTCTACAACTTCAGCTCAGCAAACAACAATAATAAATAAATAGCAATGAATCTGGAGTCGTTGAAAATGCGCAGCTTGCCGAAGGTACCGGTATCAAAGCAGAGTTCTTTTGCTAGCGCCAAAAAGTCGTCGGTAAGTAACGGGCATTTCGATGTCAGTGTCGTTCAAATGGAAAAATTGTAAGAAAAAAAATTCTAAAAAAAAATTTTTTGTTCTGGTTACTGACATTTGAGATATCTTCATTTAATAGGAGAAGAAATTCAGTGAAGATGAAACCAAAACAATAAGTGAGTTGAAGAAGCTTTACTTGGAAACAATTAAGCTCGATGTGGAATTGCAAAAGGAAATTTATAATATGGAGAAATCATTCGAGACGAAGCATAATGCAATTTTCGAAAAGCGCAACAAGATACTCGAGTGAGTTTTACTTAAGATAAATACATTTGGTGGATGTAAGGTGATATTTTCTTATACAACTTAGCTCCTAGAGAGAAATTGATAGAAGTAGCATTTCTTTAACCTCACCTCAAGGTTTATAGAATGGAAGATTAAGGCAAGAGCGAAATCATGAAGAAGTTGGTTCAATTTTGAGGGTTGCCGAAAAATTTTAAAATAAATTTCTCTAATTTTATCAATGAAACAGCGTAAAATTTTGACTATAAAACTCTAAAGACTTGCATGGTAATTTTTTTGGCATTAATAACAATTTCAATTAGTACATTCTGAAAGTTTTATGTTGAATAAAAATATTTCAATTTTTAAATTTTTTCAACAAAAATACGAATTTAAAAGTAAAAATTATAAAATTTTAAAGTTAAAAAAAAATTTTATTAAATAAATATCAAGTTCAGCCCACTGTATATATGACGAAGTTGGTTCGGTGATGTCAACGGTTGTCGTAATCTTGTTTTCTATAAACCTTGACTTCAGCTTCACCTAAAAGAGTGTTGGAGAGGTGATACTATAACCATCTAAGGGAAAAGTCAACGTAAGAGATAATATGTGCGGCTAAAATATTAAGCCCCTCATCAGTAAGCAGACGTATAAGACAGCCTGAGTTAACTGTTTTTGATCCCTTTAATTCAGTGTAATTAGAGCATACCTCAGGCTCCAAAGACGCTGCTGTCATTTCCTTATTCCATTGATATTGTATGTAGAGCAACTCGATTGCGGTCTGCTCTCATTTGGGAATGTTCGCTTAAATTTCGACTTCCTTCAGATGGCCTTGAGTTCGAGCGATATATTAAGAGTTTGTATGAAAAACACTTTAAAAAAAGAACATCTGCACACAAAATAACACTGTTCGGTGAGTTGATGGGCGGTGTTACAAAATTTTTCCCTAATCGCATTTTATAAGGCAAAAAGCCAATAAATTTAGCACCGAGAGTGCCGAATTTTGACATTTAGGTACTGGCTAATTCTTACTGACATTTCTCAACGAACAGAGTCAATAGCTAATGAGCCAGTTAAGAAATTGAGAGTAAAATGTTTTACTCTCCCAAATAAAGGTACTGAGTACTCACCGAACGGGATTCAGTCAAAATTAGTCAGCTATTTATTTTGGCGGTTGAATTTGAATCCGTTCTTTTATTTATGGAGCCTATTTTTTCGGCTTTTTAGTTATTTTTATCTAAGTATTTTCATAAAATTGTCAATTACAAAGCCAATTAATTTATTAATTGTATTAAAAATTTATTGTATTTCAAAAATGATGAAATTCTACATGCTTTATAATACAACCCATATGTTTTTTCTACTAGTCCTCGAAATGGCCAAAGATTTATGTAGAACTTGCTTTGCAGCACTTTAACGCTTAGATTTTAGATTTTCAGGAAGGATGATGAAATGATGATGAAGTACGAAAATGAGCTTGAAATTCTTGTTCCTTTTAAGCCGGCCATATTAACTCAGCATCATTATAAAGTTTATTCGACTCTGTTCAAATAAAATTTAAGCAAGCGCTTTATTTTCCATTCTAAACGTGACTGACTTTTCAATTTGTCAATCGTCACTGCATTGCAATGTTTTGGGGCTCATTTGGTGCTTTCTAATGAATTAAAAAAATCAAAAATCGGCTTACATTCTACAAAAAATAATAATATCTTATAATTCTATGCCTTCAAAATTCTCAACTTCTTACTCATCAACGTGCGCTCATTGATACCACTAAACTTGCTTTAGCAAAATTATACGAAACTTTTTTTTGTAGTGTATCATTCATGTTAAAGAATTAATAATATTTTAATTTTAAATCAATTTCGGTTTATTGACAGTTGAGTTTACTGATTGAAATTTTCTCAGCACGAATTTGCAACTTTCTCTCCAAAGTAAACGTCAACAATTGCGCTCTCTCGTTACAAATTTTACTTAGTAGAATTGAGTAAAAATTGTTACTGCCCAGCTAGTGAACGAACACAATTAATAAATATAAGATAACGAAATTGAAAATTAGCCCCAAAATTTGATTTCTCATTATTTTCAGTGATTTTCGTAAAAAGACACACGGCCACTCGACCGCTGAGAGTAATGTGTCCAATTTTTGGTTGCGTGTTCTTAAAGCTTCTTATACTGAATTCATAAGTAAAAAAGATGAAAAAATACTAATGGTATGTAACAAAGTTGGGAGCTGTTATCGTAGATTAGTATATATTTTAAGAGAGTTTTTCGCTATACTGTACTGCAGCATCTCACCGATATACGCTCAACACTGTCCAATGATCCGATTGTCAAGTTTACAATTGAATTTCATTTTGAATCGAATGATTTCTTTTCGAATCGCATTTTAACGAAAACATACTTTTTGAATTGTTTACCCGATGCGGACGATCCACTGTCATATGATGGAGCTGAAATTTATAAATGTGAAGGTTGTAAAATTGATTGGAAGCAAAATAATAGTGAAAAGGACAAAAAGCGTATGTTAATAGTGATTTTAGTGACGTTTGCTCAATTATTAAATGAAAAAGTTAAATATTTTTATAACATATAGATTTTGCTTTATATCATATTTACAGCTTACACCTCGTTTTTTGACTTTTTCATTCCGCCAACACTGCCAGAGGATACGGAGGATCCAAATTATAGTGACATAAATGTAAGAATAAAAAAATTTATGCAATATTATTGGGAAAAAAAGCAAAAAAAATCTCTTGTTCACAGGCTATTTTGCAAAACGATTTTGAGCTCGGTTTCTATCTAAAGGAGCGTGTAATACCAAAAGCTGTCATGTTTTTCACCGGCGAGATTGCCGACTGCCAAAGTTCTGACTCTGAGTCTGAGGATACAGATGAAGATGATGACGACGACGATGACGATGATGATGATGACGACGAGGAAGAGTCTATAAATGAGCCGAATGATTAGTGAATCTATAATTATAGTCTATATTTATTCAAATATTACTATATTTCTTACACACTGTAAAAACTACCGTTGCATTGCAGTAATGTAGTAAAATTACAATAATTCTGAATAAAAATTATCGTCAGCGTATATATATCATATGTGACTATTAAAAATAAAACGACAACTTGCTAAATTATCTTTGATCATGAATACGGTTTGTATTCATCACTTATACCTTACATAAACATAACGTTTATATTTTATAAATTATACATTTGTATTTAGGTCTGATTGAATGAATAAATGAATTTATGCCTATTATGTATATATAAACTAGGTTTGTAATACATAATATAATATATACCTATATTACAGCACCATGTGTATGAACGTACTTAAATATTAATCTGTTGTTGTATCTTGATTTGTGGAGCAGTTGTCATTGCTGGTCCCTATTAGATGATCAGCTATGATTTGACATTCCGGCTTTTCGGCTTTGAACCGTTTTACACCCTCACGCGTTACGCTTGTGCCACTTAAATCCAGATATATAAGATCTGGTGAGCACTGTACAAGATGATGTAATGATATATCAGTAACCTTTTTATAATTTCGTACACTAAGCCTTTCAAAGCTATTTTCGCTTGGCCTATTACCGATACGTATCCAAATTACACCTTGTTCAACAGGATTTTGCGGCCGCCCAAAACAGCAAATACCACGATCGGAAATGGGATATTGGCGATAGCATGGATGATGTCCAGGCCCTGTCAGAGATCTAGACCAACGAGATTCTCGCTCAAGTGGATTTATTATGTTCCAGAATAATGGATGGTGCAGCATTTGATCGAAATGATTATCCAAATTTGGTGGTGGACGTACATGTCGTACACTTGGACGTCGACTTACAAAATCTAATAAAATAACTTGGTCTGGTCTAGGTAAGAAACGACTTCTTGACGGTACATTTCCGGCGGGTTCAGGTGGATTGTTATCTGCCGCCTGATCTTGTGGTAAATGTGATGGCGATGCAAAAGGGGAAACTGATGACGACGATGTATTAGATGAAGATAGTGTTAATTGGGGGCTAGAACAAGATGGTTGTTCCAAGTCTGAGTCATCACGTATTTCCAGAGGTTGGACATCATCAGAACCGGAACTTGAAGGCGAGTCATCGTTTGATGTATTTGCTCTCGATGTTGATGGCTGACAGTCATCTTCATTGGTGGCACACTTATTTATCGTTTGTTTGGCTGAAGCATTTTTGTTTTCTGTGTCGCGCGAGGCCAAAGGACAGTCAAGTAGTAGTTCTTTCAATGTGAGCACAACATTAAAACATTGTATATCTGAGTCTGTTATTGGTGTATATCGTAAGTCCAAATACTGAAAATATTATATCAACTTTAAGCATTTAAAACATTTTGTAAGAAGTAAGTTTTATTACCGCTAATTTTTTAAAACCGAAACGAGCTGCCATACTACCATAAGGTATGAAATCACCAAGTCGCGGACATCCTTTTAAGCTGAGCCAACGGAGTAAAGGCATTTTAGATATCATCATGATATAATAGGGTTCAAACCAGTCACTAAATTCAATTCCCAATTCCTTTAAATACACATATTAATATGATTCAAAAAATAAAATAAAGTAAGAAAATCAAACCTCTAAATTCACTAGATGAGTGTGTATGCCGGCAAATATACTTTGTTCCTCTTCGGGCTTACAAATATTACAATCTCTTAAAACCAGTCGCTTTAAAGTTCTAGGAAAATTTGCTATTCGAACCTATACGACGAATTGCATTATATTAGTAAATTTGTGATAAAAATATATTGTTATTTACTTACATTCTTTAGATCTACTGTAACACCTCGCAGCTCTAAAACACTCAATTGTGTGCTTCGTAAAGTAAAGGTATCTGCTAAAGTTTTATTGAACTTTAGTATTTCTGTATTAGTATATTGTCTTGACGGGCCCTGTAATTTTAAACAAGTTGTTCCTGGATGAGTGCGTTCCATCACATATTCAAGTATTCCCAGCGGCAGTAACTTCTGACTAAGGTCAATATGTTGCCAAAAACGGCGGTCCATCAACAAAGTATGGAAACGATTACAACAACTGGCAAAATAACATTAGAAGTATTATTTTTTTTTTTTTGTTAAGAACTACATAGAAAACACACTTACTTCATGAGACTGTAATACGACCATGAGTCTAAATGTTTAAATATTTCATAAAGAATTTCATCCGGAAAGTCTTCTATAGAAATTTTGTCAATTTCGTCTATACCACGAAACTTTGCAACAGGAACATAATCCGGTGTTGCTCCATTATCTGAAGTAGATGGGTTGCTGCTATTCTCCTGATCGTCATTTTCAGAACGTCGTCGCTTTCGTTGTATTTTGTTTCCATCGAAGTTATCTTGGATTTGATGCAAAACTTCTTCAACACCTGAATCCATTTTCTTTACTTACACTATTTAATAGAACTTTATTACAGAGAAAAAACCAAATAGTTCATCATTCAAAAACAATTGGAAATGTATCAAAAAGTTATCGATAGAAATTATCATATAGGTGCGTTCACACTTGAATGATGTATATAATGTTCACCTTAACCGTAGGGGTTGAATTAAAAATAAGATACCATTACCCCTCGGCTGTAAGGGCATTTAAAACCAAGAAAGAGGTAACCAGTTGTCAATTAAATAATAGTACGGTTATGGTATTGACCACGGCATATATAATTGAAACGAATGTTACTTTTGTTTATTGGATCAGTTGTTATGATGTGATATGGTTATGACAGCTCTTCTTAAGCTGAACAAATAGGTTACCATGAAAACAAAGCGTACGTTCTTTGATATCTGCATTTTAGGGTAAATAGGCTTGCACATCAAACTGTACTGTAAATTGTTGGCACCCCTATTAATAATGTTGAGTTTTCACGATTAATTTAGTCTTTAGGATTCAGTGGTTTTCTACCGAATTTTTTAAATTTATACGTTGCTAATCAGAATTGGTGAATTCCAGCGAATTGACATTGTTACTGCTGTTTTTTCAATCATTTTTATATGCTCAAAATTCGAGATCAATGCGAAATGGCAGCTGCTGTTGTATTCTCGCCGAGAAACTACTATTTGCAAAATCTTGCCCAGTCAAATCCTGATCATCATAAATACTTCATGAGAGATTTATTAGATAAAATCTATGAATTTTTCCATGAGCGATATCCAGTTGATGTCACGTTTAAAGTGTCGAACCCGACTGAATTGTAAGTATGCACCTTATTATCAAATGAAAACATTATAAATGATTTAATTTTTACACAGAGTTTCAGCCCACCGCCTAATACTTTCTGCAGCAAGCTCTTATTTTACAGATCTCTTTGATAGTGCCAAAGGCGTGACTCCTCAAATCGAAATAAGTGAAGTTGATAGTGATATCTTTGAGAATTTAATTGTTTATTCTTATTCCCGAAAATTACTATTGACCTCGAAAATATAGATAAATTTATTAAAGCAGCAATGATGCTCAAATTGGATAAGGTTGTTATCAAGTGTATAGATTACATGATGGAACATATTTCTGAATACACTTTAGACCGAGGATATGCCTTGTGTAGAGAAATACCCAATAGCGCTTTAATTCGTCAAAAACTCGAAGAGTATGTGTTGAAAAACTTCTTGGAAGTGAGTAAGATTTTTTCATATTATGTTGTGTTGTTTACGTTTTTTAATATTTGTTTTGTTTATTTTTTTTTCTATTTGTTTTGTTTATTTTTTCTTTCTATGTGTTATGTTTTCTTAATAATTTTTAAATTTTTGCTATAACAATTAAAAAAAATTAGATAAGCGTATGACCAGGGAATCTCTCATACATCGCTACCCTCCAGTTTGACAAAGAAATTTCCCAACAACGGAAAAAAACACAGGCATTAATGCAGAATACAAACCGTTAAGGTAAATCAAAATTAATTATCGTGGTCAGCTCTGATTTTGGGGTTTTAATGATACAAATGTTTTGTGGGGCAAACTTTTGTTTACGTGGGTATGGAGTAGCGAAGAGGGGACTTTCGAAAATTATAAAACGCTATATCTCAAAAAGTTAGGTTCTTATCGAGTCTCGCAGAGAAACGCGATGATTATTTCATCGATATTTTGGAAACAATCGATAAAACTGCTTTTCAAGTTCTGTAATCAGTCGCATGGAATGAGCTGATCAGCTGTTAATCGGGGAAAATTTTGTTACGTTTTGATAGGAATAATTTAAGTAAATTTCTTAAATAAAATGTCTACAACAATGTTTCTGCGCAAGATAACTAACCGTGGCAATATTCGAAATAGTTTTCGTGCATTACAACGAGCAGTTTCGACAACTAGCAATTCCGGTATATCTCCTCCAAGCCTACTGTATGACAGAGATCCACAACCGCAATTCACCGATCCAGAAACTCAGAAATTACTGCGATCCATGACACAATTACAGCTTAAAAAGGTTTTTGATAAAACTACTGTGCCAGACAATTCTGTGGATTACAAGCTAATGACTGTTGAAATGTTGGAGAAAGAATTTCGTAAAACTATTGAACGAGCATATAGACGGTTGCAAATGCCGCCAGTCGTACAGATGAAAACTGATGAGCAACGTATTATATCGAAAGACAGTGCGCTAAGCGGGTTTTCTGACACGAAATTCGTTGTAACTGATATAACATATGGTTTGAGTCAGTCAGATCGTAAGGTTGTCGTTCGTCAAACTGATGGTACACTTGAGTATGCACCAATGGAGGTAACAAAGCGTATGCGGCAATTGTACTTCCCAATTAATGGACGTAGTATCCGTGTCCCACGAATGTTCGAAGATGAGCATTTGCAACGTTGTTTGGATGAGCAAAAATATTTATTCATACTAAATCGTATGGTAGTGCAATTCGAGCCTTATGAACCTGAATTTCATTATATTAGCAGTCGTGTGTATCAACATATCAATGAAACAAAACAGTTTGATGTGTTACGGTCAACCAGACATTTTGGACCAATGTCATTTTTCTTTGCTTGGCATCGTTGCATAGATGATTTACTGTACGACATGGTGCGACGGGATTATCTACAGAATGCAGCCGAACTCATAGCTCTATTATATAAATTACATGGTATTGAGACAAATTATAAAGATCTGTTGAATCAATTAGATATTATTAAACCTGAAGAAGATCTTGCTTTGAAAGAACTAAATAAAGAGTTAAAACGGTCTTCAAAAGGCGTTAAAGAAGACATTCAATCGACTATTGGAAAGACGAATGCCGATTTTGAGGCTGATGAACTGTGTCTAAACTTTATAGAAGATTATATAAGTACACATGCACTTAAGAAAGTCCAGCTGGAATTGGCCGCCCAAACACTTAAAGAAATAAATGCTGAAAAGCGTCAGTTGCTAGAGGGCTTAAGCAAAGCGCATGGTGTATCTTAAATAGAAAAAAATAAAAGTGGAGTCAATTTTTATAATCATTATGAATAAAGAATAGAAGTAGTGATAATGTTTGTTTAAATTATGCCTCTATTTGAATTGTTTATTTAATGTCCAATGCGTGCATTTTAATGGCTAAAATAAATACTTATTCATACGACATTTAAAATAAAATTACTTTAATTTTCATTTCCTTAAGATACAATTTTTATGTATCCCCATGTATATATTCCAGCCTTTGCTTAAATTTCTTGATACATTTTTGCCGGTGCCTTGCAAACAATGACGTACTTAAGTATCTTACTAAACAGATTTGACACCGTAACATATCTTTGAAATACCAACGTAATGGTCGTCTGACACCAGCATATCTTTGTAATTTTGATAATCGTTTTTGATGAAATGCAATTTTTTCAGTGTGACTTGATTTATATATGCGCCTGAATTTCGGCGAACATCTTTTGTGTTCCACAGAGTGTTGGCGTAGCTCTTCTCTAGTATGAAAGATTCGACGGCAGGGCAAGCATCGGTACGAAGCTAGGCCCAAATGCTCATTTAAATGGTCAGCTAGTAAAGATGTTGATTTAACCAAAATCCCACATGAATATAGGGGACATTGCTGATGTTGTATTCTCTTAATTGACTTACTACTACATTGATGTTGTATCAAAAGTTTAAGATGTTCGAACTGTTGGCCACAATTTTCACAGAGTGCTGGTGGACCCCAATGTGTAGCCATATGTGAGAGTGCCTTTTTTGCATTAGCGCAAATTTCACCGCAAATTAAACATTCCTTCTTACAATTTTTAAATGGAAAAGTATTTTCATTTACATATTTTAGAAAAGATTCGTATTTATCACTATTACAATCTTCCAGTGGATTAACATTTAATTCACCTTCAATATTGTATATGTCGTTATCTAAATCACATTGAATACCTACATCATGTTGATTAATCAGTTTAATAGTTTGCTGTCCACGATTTCGTAAAGGATTTCGACTATCAGTTTGCACAGACATGTCAACCATATTTGCCACACAACTATTTAAGATCTGAGCAGCTGCGGTTCGAGTGTCATAAGTTTCTGGCGAGAGTATTAGTGCCTCCGACAAAAGCATATCCCTCTGTTTTGCCATTTGATGGGTTATAAACCGAGTTTCTACAACAACCATGTCCGGAATTTCTGTCACACACATCTGAAAGTATATTTGAGAATAAGAATTTTTAGGGTTTTATGCATAAATATTTGTTTTTCATTTTGCACCTGGTGACCAACTAATGATTTTGGCGTGAGCATTGCATTATCAATATTTCCGACGACATTATCCATTTTTTTATATTAACAGGTACACTTCAATGAAGCCTCAAATAAAATTGCAGCAATTCTATGTTATCACTCATTAAACAGAGAGAACAAACAAATTCTCTTCGCCTCTTTGAATTTAGTTATTCATCAGATAATGTGTATAACAAAATATTCCGCACGGTCTTTTAATTCTTTAATAGAGTTTTGTAGTTCAATAGTTTTGTATTTATTTTTTCGAAAAAAATTTTTAATAATCGGGAGCACATTGCCAAAGCAAAAAAAATTAATTTTCCGCTCCGTTTATAAAAACAAATGCCGCTTTACCCATTTCCATTTGGGATCTTATTTGACATAGTACAGGGTTGCAGCAAAATCGTGCAACTGATTCCAAAGAGCGTATATTAATAAACGCTCTTTGCTCATACGGTCTTTGTGCAAATGCAAAAAAGTCGGTCAACATATCGCTACTTTGGCCTACAAATTGTGTGTAGAAGACGTGTACTTCTGGGACTGACTATTCAATTTAAGTTTTTTCTCAAATAGCCAATTTACGAGACCGTCATGCCACTTCTTATTAATATACGTTCTTTGGTCCTATGTTACAAATACACATTATGCATTCACGTTTACAGTAGGCAATGAACACCTCCATTAGCTTACGTTGCTCGCGATACGACTTCACGTTACTTTAGTCTTGTTCTTCAAAGAAGCTTACCACATTTTTAATTTTACGTACAAAACAACATCTAAAACACATTATAAATACATACTATCTATGGCTAGTACTTCGAAAAAAGTTAAAAGTAATGAAGAATTTCCCACTGATTGGGATGTTGACGTATACCGCGCTGACCATGAAAGTGAGGAGCATTGGCAAATGAGGCGCCACTTCATGGAGCTGCATAAGGACAAATTCCCAGAAGAACGTCTAGTTTGCCTAGCCGCAGTGTTTACAAATATGGAATTTATGGGCTGCAGGTATCCATCTGAAACAATGCGACTCGTTGCCGAGTTGTCAAAAGAAGTGGTAAAAGATTATAGAAAAAGCCGAGAAACACGACTGAAACGTACATTTGTAGCAGCGTCAGAAGCGGCTGAGGCGCGCGTCAAAGGTAGACGGTAAAAAACTACAAATGCAAAGTAACGTTTTAGTTTAAGAATATGTATACTTGTGAGTACTACTTGCCTACATCATAATCCAATAAAGTATTTTTTTTCCTTTTTATACCCATTATAATAAACAATTGCAGCTAGGTCTGGAGGGCAACAAGGGCAACAACATCTTAACAGTAGAAATAATTCTCATAACAAAAAATCAGGTATGCATAAAACTAGTGATCTCTTTGAGGGCTTACCATTCGGAAAATTTGTGCTATTTCTTAACGGTGGCCGAAACTGTTTGCGGGTCTCTGCTCAAAAGTATAATATGGAATATGAAGAAAAAGAATCTGATGGACCAAATAATAATAAGTAAATATTTTTGCTGCCAAATTTTTAAAATTGATTAATTAATATTATTCGTTATTTAGAAAATTATCAATCTTCTTGAATGGAAAGTTTGTAACTAGTGCTTGCGAGGAAAATATTAAAGCAACAAAAGCACAAGCATTTGTTAATGCTTTGGCAGTTCTGCAAAAGAATTGTTATTCAATAAAGGTACAAACAACATAAAGACATGTACAAATGTATGCGATGTTAATATATTCTCTTTTTCAGCCGAACCCTCTACGTGATACCATAAAAATAAATAAATCCAATAATCAGGTCGTTTGCGGAGTAGTCAAACAAAAGGCCGATAATGCGGAAGATAAAAAATTGGATGCCTCTAATAAAGGATATAAAATGATGAAGCTAATGGGTTGGACTGGGGGTGGCTTAGGATCAAAAACACAAGGCAGAGAAGAACCCGTAGGCTACTTATTGAAAAACAATCGCGCTGGTCTCGGTAACGAGGGGGGCAAATTAGATCGCAATTATTTTAGACAGATATTAAAGAATTATGTGGAATCTGAAGATATACGGGAGTTGCAATTTGAACCCACATTTACAAAGGAAGAACGTGCTATGTTGCATGAGTAAGATATTAACTAAACTTGTTGGAAAAAATTTAACAGTAATATCTTTATCAGAATCGCAGGAAGATTTAATTTGAAGTCGACAAGTAATGGAAAAGATGAAGAACGACGTTTGGTCATATCAAAGAAAACGATTTCTAACGAGCAGATTCTCACTGAAATTTTGCTGAAAAATAATCCAAATTATATTGACAAGTATTCTGTACAAGTACCAGAGTCAAAAGCACGTTTTTACCCAGAACACACCGAAATTTTAGAGTTGGACATGTAAAATAAATATTGACGCACTTTTTACCGATAATTATTTAAGCTGCCCTGACGCCCCGTTGTACTGACATACGCATACATATAGTTTTTGTAATAAACACTGACGATTTAATGAAATTAGTATTTATTCAGCATTATACAAGAATAAGCATATTTTTACTATCATTTTTTTACTGCACCCAACCGGCTAGGATCCTGACTAGGATAGTGTACATGACCTGGTGCGCCTCCTGTTGGTGGTGGAGGTATAGCGTCCAAAACCGCCGTCGAAGTAGACGGCATTGGAATATTTGAGTATGGCGCAGCATAGGCCTGCGAATACATTTGGTACGAAGACGCTGGTATGAGGCTGGGCGGTATTTGATGTAGTTTCATGCCAGGAGGTAGTACGGTCACCTGCTCTTGTTGTAGATTGAAAAAATCATTGGGGTTAGCAACGGGAGTGGGCGGCACAGCGGGAACTTCAAAACGTCTGTCTGTCTTAGCTACACCACCCTGCTTGGCTTGGGAATGTGCCCACTTTATAGTTGCTTTACGTCCATGCAAAACTAATTTGTTGAAAGTACGTTCCGCTGCCAGCTCGGATGCTCCGCGCTTGGTATATTGTACGAAAGCACACTGTTGTCGTGGCACTAGTGCTATAGATCGGATCTCGCCAAATTGATAAAAGTGGTCGCGTAACTCTGGTTCAGTTATTTCTTCAGGCAAATTTCCAACGTATAACGTTGTGATATTCCGATCTTCAGGGGGTTCTAATGTAGGCAAAGTTGCGGCCCGCTTCATAATTTTCTCAGCAACCGGATCGTTGCGTCCGTAATAACGATCTTTTATATTCTGCTCACAAAGTGGATCATCGGGTTCATTTGGCTTGTCATGGCGATATGGGCATTCTTCTCCACGTTTACACTCACCTTTAACCCAAAACGAGCAAATATGTGGGCGATTACGTTTGTAATATGGAGCAGTACGTGCCAATTTCGCTAGCATTTCATTTGCGGCCAATGAACGTCCGACAGTACCAGCAGCTTCAGTACCATCACCGTCTGCTAAATCGCGATCTATATTTTGTATATAGTATTCTTTATTGACATCGCTCTGGGGTATATTATCTACCACTTTCAGTGCCGCATCGCGCACTTGTATAGGAAGTCCATATTCCAGGTCCAGTAAACATGTTTGACACACATTTTTCAGCCGAGCACATGTCTGGCAGATTTCTGTTTTCTTAAAACGCATACGCGCTCCTGGGCACCAACGAAATATAGTAAACGGACGGGTACAAATCTTACATTCTTTACCAAACCGTTCCTTGATCATTCGCACATAAGGATTGTCTCCAAGGCAAGTTTGACAAAGAATCGGAAATTCGGCGTCTTCCCAATTTTGCCTATTATAGGTGTTTGTCGTTTTTGACATAGCCATTTCGCGTATATGTTTTTAAAACTATAACCACGGGAAATAGATAAGCAGATATTAACAAAACTTTTTCTCAAATTATTTCAACACAATGATTTACGTGCGATACGTAAGGAAAACGGATGATATATGAAATGTCAGAAGGCACCAATCCACATAAATAGTTGTATACAACTACTAATTCAAGTGCTGCCATACCTTTAGAAAAAGTAAACTCGTTTTGAATTTTTATCTTGCAATACAGGGTGAGTTACAAAATATTATTTGCAAGGCAACCATAACCCGGCATTTCCAAAATGAAATTGTGCAAGCTTTAGCGATGTATCATGTTTCAAAATGCATCGGTAAAGTTATTGATGTGCAAACAAAAGCAAATAGTGCATCACTAAGATCTTTGATGCTTTATTTTATCATAAATTCTTAACAACATCGGCCGACCTCGGAAATTAAGTTTTTTTTTGAATATTACATTACCTAATTCTTTCATCTGTTTCTTATTTTTGCCATTTCACTTAAAAGCAAACTTATTTCCACAAAAAGCCTCGCAAATGTCAGAGTTAGCAAAGTATTATTGCAAGGCAAATTGATGGAATGCAGAGTTGCATTGTAATGATGCGGTTGCAAATCTGCCGTTAATCTTCTTTTAATCTAAAAATATCAATGATGTTGTATCCAGTAAGATTTCGTGCAAATGAAATTTTCGCTGTCAAAGTGAAAATCTTCCACTTTATGGCAGGCAACAGATGGCAAGCAATAAGCTCGGACATATATTGCAGGCCATTCGCGTTAGCCGGTTTCTACGAGCAGTGCTGTCAATTGCTTTAAACTCTGGTTGAATTTCGAAAAGTCAGGTAAGGCAGTAATATAAACACTTTCTGGCAGCACAGTTTTAACAATTTTTTCTACGAAATCAGGAAGAGAACATAATAAAAACGCCTGGTGCAATTCAAGTAAACACTGATTTGTAAACAAGTTTGGGATATGACGGACGTACCGCAGGCTAAACGTTATCGTCGCGAGGATAATGAAAAAAATACTGACGATGAGGAAATTGACGATTATGTACCCTATGTGCCGGTCAAGGAGCGTAAAAAACAACAGTTAATGAAACTTGGAAGAATTGTTCAGCTAACATCGGAGGCAGCTGCACAACCAAAGTCATCAAGCGAAAATGAAGGCGATGAGGAGTCCCAAGGAGCAAATGAAGCTGAATTATGGGGACGTAAATATAATATCAGTTTGTTGGACCAGCATACCGAATTAAAAAAGATAGCTGAGGCTAAAAAGATAAGTGCTGTTGAGAAGCAACTGAAGGAGGAAGAGAAGATTTTGGAAAGTGTAACACAACAAAAAGCTTTGATGGGTGTAGCAGAATTAGCCAAAGGTATTCAATATGAGGATCCTATCAAGACTAGTTGGCGGCCACCTCGCTATCTTATCGCTATGTCAGAAGAGCGACGAAATGCAATACGTAAACGTTTACGAATTCTTGTCGAAGGGGACGATGTGGCGCCACCGATTCGTAGTTTTCGTGAAATGAAATTTCCTAAAGGCATACTAAACGGACTGGCCGCTAAAGGCATAAAAAGGCCTACACCTATTCAAATTCAAGGCATTCCTGCTGTGCTATCCGGTCGTGATTTAATTGGCATTGCATTTACTGGCTCAGGAAAAACGTTAGTTTTTGTACTACCCATAATTATGTTTGCTTTAGAGCAAGAGTATCGACTACCGTTCGAGCGAAATGAAGGCCCATATGGATTGATAATTTGCCCATCTCGTGAATTGGCGAAACAAACATACGATATAGTCATGGTAACTCGATTATATTACATATCTCTGTGTCATCTACTAACCGCCCATTATTATTACAGCATTATAGTAAACACTTACAACAGTGTGGTATGCCTGAAATACGAGCTTGCCTAGCCATTGGTGGGCTACCCGTTTCGAGTGCTATGGAAGTTATACAAAGAGGAGTTCACATTATGGTTGCAACACCAGGTCGTTTAATGGATATGTTGGAGAAAAAAATGGCAACACTAGATATATGCAGATACTTATGTATGGATGAAGCTGATCGGATGATTGACATGGGTTTCGAGGAAGATGTGCGTACAATATTTTCATTCTTTCGTGGACAACGACAAACACTACTTTTTTCTGCTACTATGCCAAAGAAAATACAAAATTTTGCACGATCTGCATTGGTGAAGCCAGTAACAATCAATGTCGGACGTGCTGGTGCGGCTTCCATGAATGTTACGCAAGAAGTGGAATATGTTAAGCAGGAAGCTAAAGTTGTGCATTTATTGGATTGCCTGCAAAAAACTGCACCACCAGTACTAATATTCGCCGAAAAGAAGCAGGACGTTGATTGCATACATGAATATCTACTACTCAAAGGTAATGTTGTCTTGCTTTTACAGCATAATATATCATTACAAGAAAATAATGAAAATTTGTTATAATTTTTAGGCGTTGAAGCGGTAGCAATTCATGGTGGCAAAGATCAAGAGGAGCGTTCGCGAGCTGTTGAGGCTTATCGTGATGGCAAAAAAGATGTACTAGTCGCTACTGATGTCGCCTCAAAAGGTTTGGATTTTCCAAACGTACAGCATGTGATAAACTATGATATGCCCGATGATGTTGAAAACTATGTACATCGTATAGGTCGTACAGGTCGTTCTAATACCAAGGGACTTGCCACCACTTTTATCAATAAAACTGCTGAACAGTCTGTCTTGTTAGATTTGAAGCATTTATTGATTGAAGCGAAGCAAAAGGTTCCTGAATTTCTTAATGAACTATGTCCCGAACCGGAAAATTACTTGGATCTTGGCGATTCGCATGGTTGCAGTTATTGTGGTGGTCTAGGTCATCGTATCACTGAATGTCCGAAGCTTGAAGCTGTACAAAGTAAGCAAGCTTCAAACATTGGACGACGGGACTATTTATCAAATACTGCTGCAGATTACTAAGTTTAAGGGCCCCTACAACGACAACAACTAAGTTCAGGGCATAATCTTATCATTTAAAGTTTTGTGAAACTAGTTTCTAACTTTCGATCTTCATAAGTATATGAATAATTTGTAAAAATATAATTTATAAATACATATCCGCAGGTTTATGTAACATGCATATACTTCTTTGCTTATTTGCTCATAAATACTCTACCCCTCTGCGTATGTATGTTATGGGTGGTCCAAAGTGTTGTCGAAATTTCGGATTGGGTTGAACGCGGAATATTCCCAAGCATTTAGTACCTTAGGGTTTAAATATTTTATATAAGGAGGTATTTAAGATTGTTATAAACCATTGCCTGCCAACAGGTGCTTTATTTTACTTTACTTTGCTGGGATGAATTTAACTTCTCCCATATCAATCCAATGTAGATTTCTTTATGGAATTTCCAGCAAATTCAGTATGGCCGTATCAAGGCTGAATCGTAACGATAAATTGCGCGAGAATCGAAAAATTTCTATCGTTTTGGTTGAAACATTTGGTAATAATTTATAGAGGTTTTCCTTACTTGGGAATTCCAATGGAAAAAGTAAAATTGATAAGGTCAAGCTTAAGACAATTTAATACAATTCTTGGGGAAAAATTTTGTCAACAAATGATTGTTATTTTGTTTTGTTTTTTCCTTAACAAGAGTTGGTAAATTGAGAATTCTCAGCAGTTTATTCACCAGACCAAAACAACGAAAGAATAAAATGTTTTTCAAAATATGTAAAATCGTTGGTGCATGAATAAATGCCCATGCGATGAATATACATATTCATACATACATACATATTTATATGCCATCAATTCTTAGAAATTAATAATCACCGCAGCATTACTGATAAGACACAAGCTCTGGCTTAAGGAAATTCATCTCATGTTATCAACGGCGAGTCTAGCAGTTTAAAGTATACATGAACAAAGCATCAATCGTATGCCAATAGCTTAATTCAGCTTATTCTCTAGTAAATACATTGAAAGAGTTTCAGACAACTTTTTTTTTTAAATACTCCAAGCTTTCATACAGATCTATGAATGAATTTCATTAACGCCAGACGTTAAACAATTGAGTAAGAGTAAGAGAGCAAGACGGCTTAAGGCAAATCAATTTGAAAAATTGAATATAAAGAGCTACAAAAATTATAAACAGTTCAGTATCTCGTAAGCGGTCGGTAGAGCAAATTTTACCTAAGAAAAAGTTTTGAAAAGCTCAAGAGTGACCTAAGTAATTGTTTGTGTTGCGAAAATATCGCGAGTGCTTCTTAGGAGCTGATAACTATTCAGTGGGAAAAGGTACTCGTATTCGTGAGATGTTTTTTTTTTTTTTTTAATTTGAACAAGTTTTAGCATACGCTTTATTATCGAATATTATTTATGTACGTTGATTATGCCCGGAAGATATGCTTTTTATTAACACTATGTTATACACTTATGTATGTGAATATGTATGTACGAGTTTATCAAGTACTAAATATATACATATATACATATATGGGTATTTATAAGCAGGGATTAAAGCTTAATTCTGATATCATATACATACTCGTACGTATGTACATATAAATTTCTGCTGGTGGCGAAAAATGTATAACTATGTGTATGCAATTTGAAAAATAACAACAACAATATTTTGCGTATCAGTAAACGATCTTTTGTTGACTTTAAAGTCCATCATTTATTTACCCAATATACGCTAATGAAGCATATGACGCGCATAAATATGTATAATAGGCGATTTACAGTGCTAGTATATACATTTGAAAATATATTTATTGAAGAATAATTGACGATCGGGACAATCCACAGCGGTAAGACATGGGCTTAGCAATGAAAGTAATTATACGGAACACTTGTTTGGGTTCAATTTGCATCAAATTAAAGTTTTAATTGAAAAATTTACACATAAAAGACAAATGTTCCCATATACTTACCCATGCACAACAGTGAAACAAAAGTAAAGCAAAATCAAAATATAATAAAATTAAAAGAAAGGAAAATAAAATGAGGTAAAATACATTTTAGATAAAAAATGAAAACTAAAAACAAAACCAAATAATTTAAAAAAGAAATCACGCAATAAATTAAAATAAAATAAAAAAGTAAAAATAAGTTCAAAAATAATATAAAATAAAAATATTAATTAATAAAAAACAAGTTATAAAATATATTATTATAAACAATAAAATTAAATGAAATACATATAATGAAACATAATAAGATAAAATAAAATAAAATAAAATAAATTCAAATCAAATAAATGAATAGAAAATAATTATATCAAATAAAATAAATAAAGTAAACTAAAAATAAAAAAGAAGATAAAATATAATAATAACATAAAGTAGAATATTTAAAAGAAAAGTAAAATGAAGTTGAATAAAATAATTTAAAAAAGAATCAAATGATATGAAATGCAAAAAGCTATAAAAGCATAAAATCAAATAAACTAACATAAATTAAAATGAAACAAAGTAAAGCAAAGTAAAATAAAATAAAATGTTGTAGTATAAAAATATTAGAAACTTAAATAAAATATATCAAAACAAAAAATTTAATTTAACAAAATAAAAATTGAAAATTAATTATTGAGCAACAATTTTTAAAAATAAAAAAAAACAATCATTATATATAATAAAATTAAATCATATATAAAAAATAAAATCAATTATCACAAAATAAGAAGAACTAAATATTAAAGTAAAATAAAATAAGTCAAAAGAAATTTACTAAAAAAGAGATAAAACAAAATAAAATAAAATAGAATCAAATAAAATAAAGTAACTTATAAAAAAATTAATTGAAAATAATGTATTAAATAAAATAAACTAATTTAAAATATGATAAAATAAAATAAAGTAAAATAAGGTAAAATAAAAGAGTTTGCTTACCAAAATTAAAAAATATAAAATAAAAATAAAAAAATATAAATAATAAAATTAAATCATATATAAAAAACATAATTAGAAGAAATAAAATTGATTAACATAAAATAAGAAAAATGAAGTAAGTAAAAAAATGTATTAAAAACTAAAATAAAATAAAATAAAAGAATATAAATAAAATAAAATGAAATTAAATTAAAATAAAATAAAATAAAATTGAACTAAATTAAAATAAATAGAATGAATCAAAATAAAATAAAGTAAAGTTAAATGAAATAAAATAAAATTATGTGAAATAAACTAAACAAAATAAAGCAATATATAATAAATTATTTTAAAACAAAATAAAATAATATAAAATAAAAAAACATAAATAAATATAAAATTAATAAACATGAAATAATAAAGTAAAATAAAATTAATAAAATGAAATTTATCAAAAAATAATAAAATATAATATAAAATAAAATAAAATAAAATAAAATGAAATTAAAGTAAAATAAAATAAAAAATTAAACTAAAGTAAATTAAGTGAAATAAAACTGAACAAAATAAAACAATACAAAATAAAATAAAAATTTTAGAACAAAATAAAATATAGTACAATAAATTGAAATAGAATGAAATTAATAAGGCAAAATAAATCAAAATAGAATAAAATAAAATTATGTCCAAAAAGTAAATAAATTAAAATAAAATATGTGAATAAATGAATTAAAACAAAATGAGATGAAATAAAATAAAATAAAATAGAATCAAATGAAACAGAATAAAGCAAAGGGACCAATCAGAGTCTAGCAGTAATAATTATTTAATAAACGTATGTTTTTTTTTTAATTATAAACAATAAATCCAATGACAGCTGCTTTCGGAAGAATTTGAAATTACATTTATCCTAGACTATGCATATATTATATATACATACAATAAGTTGAAATTGTAAGTCCGTATAATTTTAGAACAATTAGTTAACAATAATAAATACTGTGAATCAGGCAACTTGTACACACAACAAATGAAAGTGAAATTAATTTACTATTATTCGATATATGCTCGTACGTGAGCTGTTTTTTTTATTAGTCAGTGACTATTTTTATTGTTTAATATTTTTATTTTCTTTGCAATATGTTTCGCAGAATGATCAATTGTAATTTTCATTAATAAATTTTAATAAATGCAAGAACATAGTTCTTGAAATACTTTTATTTCCCGATATAAATCAATAAATACATACATAAATACATGTATACATCTCGGTATAAAACGAAGAAATATACTTATTTCATATTTCTTTACCGTTGCGGTGAAAGTATTTGCATATTTGCATATTTATGTATGTCTGCATATAGTCGTATGTATGTATGTTTCTACATACTTTGGCCAAAAACTCGCAAAGTGTGATATTTTTATGTCATTTGATGCCCTAAAATATTGGTGAAAAAAATTTGCTTTCGCGGTCATATTCAGAATTAATCAAACAACTTTTTGTTTACGCACATAGCTTTTGCTTTGTAGAATGATAAGATACTCTTTCTACAAGTGTTTGTTTTATTTTTAAATATTAAATTTTTAGAAAAGTCTTCAAATTGTTTATTAACGTGTCTTGGGCGTTTGTTCAGCTGATGTTGACCATGACTTTCTTTTAACAGCAACTTCATTTGTAAGTATGTATGTACTCATAAAAGTCTAGGTACATACATTAGGGTCAGAAAGTTACCGGAAATCGGCATTTAAACTGCCCGCGCGGAATATTTTTCAGCACTCTTTTCTTCTTTGTTAAGTTGGTAGCGCTGTCTTCAATTACTATGCCATAAATGAGCGCTAACTGTCAACCAGTTTGTTTGCAGCAGCTTGAAACGAGTTCCAGCCAGTTTTAACTTGAGTTTTGGAAACAATAAAAAGTTGCATGATGTCAAGTCCGGTGAATACGGTGGTTGATCGAAAGTATTAAATGAGTTTTGGTCTTAAAATCGTTCACACCTCCAGCCCGGTGCGATGTCTACGACGGATATTTTCGCGCAAATGCCTCAAAACGCTCAAGTAATACTCCTTATTGACCGTCTGTCCCATTGGAACGAATTTATGACGAACCAAACAGCGAATATCGAAAAAAAAACAATTTCCGGAAACTTTCTGGTCTTAATGTACACACACGCACATATTGGATGAGTGCATAAGTTCGTGCCCGATTCCGCTGGATGCCGTTCGAACCGTTTGAGAGTGGCGCTTGGGAAAGAAATATATATATATTATATAATATATCGTTGGAAAGGTGACAGTCCGAATTGTAAATCAAGCATAAAATATCTTCATTTTGATTTGAGTTGCTTAGTGAAGAGATGCATGGAAGATGGACAACGAAAAAGATCATATGCGTCATATTGCTGCAACTAAAGATATTCGCGAAGTTTATTTGGACCGTGCTCCAGCACTCCGCACAGTAAAGATATGGTTCGCGAAATTTCGTTCTGGAGATTTTAATCTCGAAGATCAACCTCGCAGTGGACGGTCTTCTGAGCTTGATGACAATGTTCTAAGGACTTTAGTTGCGAATAACTCACGTATTTCGACGGAAGAGGTTTCCAGTGAATTGAACGTCAACAAATCAACTGCGGGTTGGGTACACTTTGAAGCTCGATACATGGGTGCCACATCAGTTGAGCGAAAAAAACAAAGTGGATTGTATGTCAACAGCAATTTCTTTGCTTCGACGGATCAAAAACGAACCTTTTTTGGATCGGCTCGTCACTGGTAATGAAAAATGGATCCTGCACATCAATGTTCAACGCAAAAGAACATGGAAACAGGCACACGAAGGGGCGGAACCGATTTCGAAAGGTGGATTGCATCTGATGAAGGCACTGCTGTGCATTTGGTGGGATATCTGAGGCGTGATCTATTTTGAGCTCTTGCCAGCTGGAGAAACGATCACTGCCTACAAGTATTGTCAGCAATTGGTCGAATTGAAGAAAGAAATTGATGAATAACGTCCGATTTTGGCCAATCGCAAAGGAGTTCTTTTTCATCATGACAACGCCAGGCCACATGTTGCAAATTCGACCGTGGCCAAACTGAAGAAGATGAATTGGGAAATCATGCCGCATCCCCCATATTCACCCGACATTGCACCTTCTGATTATCATTTGTTTCGATCGCTGCAGAACAATTTGAATGGAAAAAATTTAAAAATGTGGAAGACGTCAAAAACCACCTTGACACCTTTTTCAACGAGAAACCGCGCGATTTCTATGAATCAGGCATCCGTAAATTGGTTGAACGTTGGGAGTGGATTGCCGAACATGATGGCGAATACATAATTGATTAATAAAAGCGCTTTCTTCAAAAAATTTTAATTTTAGCTTACACTTGAAATCGGGCACGAACTTATGCACTCATCAATATACTATTATATACAATCAAACTTAGGCATTTTTTAAATTTTAAATTATTTATTCTATAATATAATATAATATATATGTATCTACATATGCACATATGTATATATACGATTATATGTGCCAGATTTGTTCTCATTTTTATAAATTTATTTCTTATTTATTTAAACATATATTTGAATTTACTAATCGCATATAAACTAGAAAATAATCTATAGGTCGTGCTCCTGGAATTTAAATATTTATTTTTGTTAATATGAGCGCTGTTTAATGAATATTATGTTTTTTTTTTTTTTTCCAAGTAAATAATTTGTTTATATTTTGAAAACCGTACATATGTACATGTGTATTTACGCATTTACGTTTTTATATTTTCTTAAATAAAAATTACACTTATTTACCCGCTTACATGGACAGCTATGTTTGCGCATATACGAGTATGTATTAATCATACATATACATAGGTATGTATGAATAAGCGAAGATAATGTGTTTTACATATTTTTCGTTATTATGTTATAAGTTATTACCGGCAAGAAATTTGGAAAAAAAAATAAATAGTACTTTTTTATAGTCAACTACTGGTATGACCTAATATGACAGCACATATGTATGAATGTAGGTGTGTACGCACAGGTATGCTGACATGTGCATTGGAGGACACTTCAGTGCCAAGTTCGTAGTAAACGTTTTGCGGTTTACGTTGACATCGGTTTCATAAATAGCTGTTAGTGTAATATACATATGTACATACATATGTATGTATAAGTATTATTGTATGTACTCCCGACTTGGGTATGGAAACCTGAACATTAAAATCAACAATTAAACATAACCGTTTTTACTGGTATCTTAACGAGACTCAAAATTTTGACACATTTTATTTCTTACAGTACAGATTTTTTTTTGGTTGTTCAGTCAAATAAATGCAAAAATAATTATTCATACTCCTCCTCTGAAATAATTAACGAGTGTACTTAAGCACTTCCATGTCGCTTTCCGCCTATTGTTTCCTTAAATAATCTTTATTCTGTATTTCTATAGCAAACTATTTATTTTTCAATTTAGCATATTGTCAATGAATAGCGGTTTCAAAAACAAACGCTAAGCGAGAGAGGTTTTACAAAAATTCTGAAAGCTGCTTTATGTCTTTGTCTTGTCTTAAGTAATTATTTTGTTGAAAAATATTTAGAAATAAAGAGATTCCACGAAATTTGATCCCACGACTTCTTCTGCAACGAAATTGAAAACGATCTACTAGATTTCAATTCAATTTCTACGCAAGTTCAAAGAAAACTTTCCCTTAAAACATCGATGGTTTAGTTCGTTGTCTAGTTCAATACCAACCAATTCCAAAAAAAATCATTAATCATCTCTCGGCAGTGCAATCCATTCATTTTCAAAAAAGGTAAGGTGCAATGACCTCACCGAACCATATATCGCAAGAAACGGTTGCACGTTGAGGATGGAGAGAGTTATCAATAATAAATCTTGGGTTTTCTGAGCGCCAGTTGCGCCAGTTTTGCTTATCGACGTAGCCATCGTGGTGGAAATGGTGCTCATCAGTCAAGATGATTTTTCGATGAAATTTTTATAGTAAAATTTAATGATTTCCATGCGTTTTTAAGTGTTTATCGTGCCAATTTTATTATTGGCTTAGTTTTTACTTGTCAAATGTCAAAAGATTATAGTTTCAAAAGTAATATCTAACGGACTAACAGGATATTCAAAATAACATCTCTCATTGGTAAACTCTTATAACATTTTTTTTACATAAAAAAATACGAGATTTCGTATAGATCGGTCTCAGGTTCACATCTCGCAAATTCCCTTTACATCGAATACTGATGCCATGCACAGAACACACCGGTCTATACGATCAGTGGTTCGATGACCGCAATAGCCGAGTGGTTAGCATTGCGTATTGCCATTCGGATGGCCACGGTTCGAGCCCTGATTCGACCAACATTCAAAATTGTAGAAAATTAATTTTTGAAAATGCGTTGAACCTCTGGACAAGGAATGTCTACCCCTCCGAGTATATTTCTGACATGGAACTAAGCCTCCTCATAAAAATCCACTAGTCTTTCGGCTTGGAATAAACTGTAGGTTCCTCCATTTGTAGGAAAAACTTCATCATACATACCACAAATTGGAGAAGGAGCTCGGCCGATCGTTGCTTCAGCAGTTACAATGCGGCAATGGTATTAAGATCAGTGGTTTAGGTTGCGTGTTGATCTGTCAGACATTTAAGAGACAATCTTTTATAGTCATTTAGTTTAACATTACCATCTTTTTTTATCAAAAACTATGAATAAGAATAAATATAATTTTTTAAATATGTAAATATTCGAATAACTTAAGAAGACATCTTTTCTCATGCATTAAAAAATCTGTTATTTTTCAGCATTAATTATTAGGAGGTCATGACCTCAATCAACTACTATTTAAAATGCGTAAAAACCAACCACTCGTTTCAATGACTTCATTGTTTATTTTTCCATCTTAGAAATTTGTGGCAAAAAGTATCCGCAGTATGCGAGGAGTTAGCTGCGCTTCCTAATTTTTGAAAGAGCTTGGATTCCAATACTAGTCAGGCCAGCAACCAACATTACGAGAAACAATTCTACTTGCGATCGCCCCTTGGCAGGGAATGTCAAATCCTTCGTGTGAATTTCTGACAAGAAAAAAAATCTCCTCATAAAAATCCAACAGCCGTTAGAGGCGGCTTAGAATATTGAAGGCATTTGAAAGCATGCTTAGGAGAAGCTCTCACGGTAATCGCTTCAGTGGATATAAAACTCCAACTAAGAGCACAAGATCAAAATATACCGGCTCTACGACCACCAAGTGTCTTGCCACGTCTTGTCTTGTTAAGTTTTTAGAGATCGGTTGCTTGTGTTGATGTGTGATGTACTCTAAAAATATCTAACCAGCCTGAAAGCAAAATGGATTTGGTTCACTTAGGGCTACTCACAATTGATAGGGAAAATTCAGTCATCTAACTACAATCCTGAAAGCTCTTCAGTACCAAAGTTGCGGAAGTCCGCTCTTGGGAGATTAAAAACAAAACTTTGAGAGCAGCTCCCGCTACCGCTCTAGTTTCGAAAGTATTCGGAGCAGTAACTGCAAGCAGAGGAAGGAAAGATCAAATACTCGGCTTCACTTCGCGTTTGGGTTTGGAAGAATAACTTTATCTTGAATAATTTTCATGTGATCATTTTTTTGCCAAGTTGGCTGCAGAAAAAACATGAAGCGCATCGGGCATTTAGGTTAGAAGGAATGAGTCGTTATTCGATGGACCTATTCAAAGCACATCCAAGCACAATGCTGTATTTTGTCGTCATTATATTATATAACAGTTATATTTAGATACCTTATTTATCTTCATATTCACCATTGCTATAATTAGTTTTTTGTTATATTTTATCTACCACTAATTTCAGCTTAAAAAAAGAAAAACAAATAACGTATTGAGCTTCGCGTGGTTACATAGTGGAGCGTGCCGCACAGTGAGCATTGATCGTAACAGAAACTCTTCAGATACAAAACGGACTAAATTGGCTTCTCATCAGATCAGTTTTAGCAGCTGCTGAGATCGCTTTTGGTACGAGCTGTGAAAATGGCAGCGAAGATGGCAGTAATCTGCAGGTAATTCAATGGATTGGTTTACTTTTTAAATAATTGCCGTTATTAATTATTAAAAACGGGAAATTATTCAAACAATAACACGAAGCTAGTGGACTAAATAATTATAGTTTATACTATTTAGAAACCACTTTGAATACAAACCTTTTATTGAAAAAAATGTGTGTGTTTGTGTTACAACGAGTTCTCGCATACGTTTTTTAAAACTGTGTCGCGCATAAATTAAGACTGAAAAATTCATTATTATTCCAGCATTTTAGCTGTGTTGATACTGCTGCCCAGCGGTGGTCAAGCGTTCCGCAAACAATCGGCTCAAATTCAACCCCAACCCCAAAGTACCGACAAATTCGCACCGAATCGTGTCGTCATGCATAGCGCATTCGCCAATGCGGGCCGAACGCCTGGTCTGGAAATTTGGAGAATCGAGGTAAGTTAGTGTTAAACCCTTAAAGGGTTTACTACCCAATAATATTTTGTATGTGTGTGTGTATATCCAAACGTGATACACTTTTCCACAATATAAATATCAAGGCTTTGTGCATTTTATGTTTTTATTTCGCGGTTTTTCTGCTGTTGCATTGCGTGTTTGGCGAATTGTATGAAATTTTAAAAAGTGATTTGTTTATGCAAAAATATCAATACACGCAACACGCTCTTGTATCATCGGTAATGTCTGACGGGTTTATTGATAAGCGAATTACAACCACGAAAGATTCATAAAAAATGCAACAACATTTCTGCAAAGAAAGTACTAATCGAATAAGTTCATGGCCGGAAAGCGACGTTTAATGCAAGCAAAAAAAAAAAAAAAAAATAATAATAAAAATTCCATAATTAAGTTTTTCAATAAAAAATTTTCTAGTTGAATAATTACAAAAAGATATGCGCTAATACTGAAAACTTTTTTTGTTAATTTAAAAAAAGAATGCATGGAAATGTGGGTTCATTAGAAACCCTGTATATAGGAATAATGCTAGTTAGAAGGGACTTGGGAGACTTGTAGAGTTTAAAGTTGAGACCATCCTATTGGGTTCAATACTCTTTGTTTACAGACACTTTTTCGCATTCCCCCAAAGAACGGTTCCAGAAGCTTATGTAACAACTAATTCAAAACGCTTTTGGCAGCTTCCAATGATGTAACCGTTTCAATGAACTCAGATTCAACAAAAGATCTCTGTATTAAAGCATCTCCTTTTGATGATGAATGTGGAGAATGCTCAGTAATCTATTATCAAGAAGATTTTGAATTGTATTTGTAGCAGAGAACAGCATGCCATACTACCATTTATTATATAATCGGTCCAGCTGGGAAACTGACTATGCCTAACCGCAATAGGTTAGGGTGAGGTAATTAATGCCTTCTTGTAATATCACTTGGTACAAAAACGGTTTACTTGATTCAATAGTGGAAAACTCCACTCTTTAACTTCAGACAAAGGTCCGCTACCCAGACCTTGGTCAAATTTTCTGCTTGCCTCTCACTTTCTTTTTTACCCAGATCTCTTTCAAAATTCGCTTTATAAAACAAGAGCTGTGAGAGGACGTTTTCTGGGGCTCAAGGGTGGAATAAGTCCAAAAAGTGAGATGTCACAGCAGGTATGAGGGAAAATGTTGAAAAATTATAGATAGCTCTGTTTAGTTTCTCCGCCACTGCTGTTGCTTAGCGAAATATTCTGAAATTGCAATAGCACAGGACCGCTTCAGATATGTATAATGTATGAACGATTCGTAGTGACCATACAATCAGAAAGTCAACCTCTTCCTTAGAGGTATAATCCATCGATGTGACCGTAATACGATTATTCTTACACGAAAGACGGCTTAGTAAACTGTACCGATGTTAAGCAAAGCCAAAAGCTTCAACAGAATCGGAAGGGGTTTAGACATGGTGAAGGTTTATCGTGTGACTTCTTCCTATATTGTTGGAGAAAATAAAACAAACAAAAAGAGCAAAGCGGAGACGGTACAATCTTCAACAGGAGAGCACAGCTGCTGACGTATTGACAACATCGATCTCAAAAGCTGCGCCGTTAGTTGTCAAACAGTCAGCGCCTACATACCTCGGCTCCCTCGTCACCGTTGACCGCCATAACTTTGAAGTTGTCGAAATTTTCGTCCCTCTTGGTACCAGAATCAACACCATCAACAATGCTAGCCGTGAGATGCATGCCAGGTATACTTTGTACGAAGTAGACAACTCGAGGAATACTTTTTGGCGCAAAAGAGTGGACAATGACGAGATCCAATGATTTGATTTCAACAGTTTCGGAGAGAAAGGTTTTTGAGAAGAACGTATGCACCTTACTGTATTAAAGGCGACGAATACCGTGGATTGTCGCCTTGTAACCGCCGAAGCGATCTTTCGGCCGAGCTCCTCCTACAATTTGTTGATTTGCACCTTGATGTTTTTTCCAACAAATGAAGGGACCCACAGTTTACACTAAGTCGCCTCCGAACGGCTAATGGTTTTTTATGTCATTTCATGTCAGAAATACACTAGGAAGGTTTGACGTTCCCTGCAATTAGAATTGAACTTATTTTTTTTAAATTAATTTAATTTTCTATAACTTTTGGACGTTGGTCGCACGGAGATATGAACCCGAGCCTTCCGAACGCAATGCTAAGCACTTGGCTATCGCGGCCGCCGATTTGATTGATTAGATCAGCGAATTAAGATACAGCGGCACTTAGGTTAGGCCATCTCGCCCAAATGTATTAAAAAGCTCTTGCTTTCAAAGCAAACGATGACAGAAGCAGACGAAGAGAAAGAGAGATCTCTGTTGACATATTAGGCTGGAATCAACCACTATGAGCTGCTCCCATATGGCCAGCCGCTTAATTCTACCATCTACTGCGAACAACTGGACCGCTTGAAGCAGGCGATCGACCAGAAGCGTCCAGAATTGGCCAACGGTTCCACCAGGACAACGCCAGACCACACACTTCGTTGATGACTCGTCAGAAGCTACGGGAGCTCGGATGGGAGGTTTTATTGCATCCACCATATAGCCCGGACGTAGCGCCAAGTGATTACCACCTGTTGCTGTCCATGGCGAATGCCCTTGGTGGTGTGAAGTTGAACTCAAAAGAGGCTTGTGAAAAGTGGCTGTCCGAATTCTTCGCAAATAAGAAGGGGGACTTCTACGAGGAAGGTATTATGAAGTTGCCGTCTAGATGGAAACAGATCATCGAACAAAACGGCGCATATTTTAACTAAATCCGATCGCTATAACACTTTTTATAAAGCATTGAATGAAGAGCAAAAAAGCGGAAGGGAGATATTTGACAACCTTACATTATACGAAGAAGAACTTGACTTCATACGGTGTTCTCTTCCGGATTCGTATTACGGAACGATAGCAGATAGTGGGCTTTTGCTGATTCGGCATTGCAGACATCGTTGCTTTCTTGGGTTTCTAGGAGCAGATTCTTCATAAAAATAATTGTCAATGTTCATAAATAAAAAAAATAACTCTGCTTAAGTTTGGAAAGAAAGTTTATTTTATTGTTTAATAAATAATTGAAAATAATCATTCTTCTCTCTTTCAGAACTTTGAGCCGGTGGTGTATCCCAAAAGCAATTATGGCAAGTTTTACACCGGAGATTCGTTTATTGTTTTAAATGTAAGTCGAAAAGTTTAATATATCTTTAGCAATAAGAAAATCTTCAAGCTTAAGCTTCCCTACATATTTTTTAAATTTATACTCTTCGGTTAAGCTCACACATTTTTCACATACTCGTATGTAAGTTTCCCTATTTTTGTTTTTTTTTTTTTTTTGGTTTTGCAAACACCATGATTTCCCTTGCATTTACTTCCACCTTTGTACTTATTTCGCTTTGTAAATTTTTCTTCATTTGTCAGACAATCGAACGCAAAGATAAAAAACTCTCTTGGGATATTCACTTTTGGTTGGGTTCGGAAACGTCGACCGACGAAGCGGGTGCTGCTGCAATTTATGCAGTTCAATTGGATGACCTCCTTAATGGCGCACCGGTGCAACACCGTGAAGTTCAGGATCACGAATCACAATTATTCCTCAGTTACTTTAGAAATGGTAAGTGCAGTTGAGCTGAATATATGTAACGGATACAAAGGATATTCCGTTAGATTGTATGCGCTTACGTGCTGCAGTTACAAGTACCAACAGTTAGCAATTGATTGTCTTTTATACGTAAATGTAACAAAAATGTTAGACTTTGCAAGTCTTTGCCGTTATAAATCTTACCTTTATTTTTCCCCACTTTCGTTTGGTAGGTGTACGTTATGAGAAGGGTGGCGTCGGCACTGGCTTCAGACACGTCGAAACCAATGCGGCAGGCGAGAAACGACTCTTTCAGGTGAAGGGCAAGCGCAACGTGCGTGTACGTCAGGTGAATTTGTCCGTATCGTCGATGAACAAAGGCGATTGCTTCATTTTAGATGCTGGCAATGAGATACTCGTTTATGTGGGGCCGCAAGCAAAGCGCGTGGAAAAGTTAAAAGCGATCAGCGCGGCAAATCAAATTCGTGATCAAGATCACAACGGACGTGCCAGGGTTGAGATTACTGGTGAGTATAAGTTGCGTTCATTCGTTATGCATATGCTTATATTTATTTATTTACATGCATATATATGTATGTGCTATGTTATTGTTTAGATGAGTTCAGTTCAGATTTGGACAAGCAGCACTTTTTTGAAGTTTTGGGCTCTGGTTCGCCTAATCAAGTGCCTGATGAGGCTGCTGAACAAGAGGATGGCGCTTTCGAAACAGCAGATGCCAATTCCGTTACTTTATATAAGGTCTCCGATGCTCGTGGTGGCCTAAAAATTGAACCCATCTCCACTAAGCCACTTCGTCAAGAAATGTTAGACACCAATGATGCTTTTATATTGGACACTGGCTCGGGTATTTACGTTTGGTTGGGTCGTCGTGCGACACAAAAGGAGAAAACCGATGCTATGAGCAAAGCTCAGGAGTTTTTAAGTACCAAAAAGTATCCAGCCTGGACGCAAGTACATCGCGTGGTGGAGGGTGCCGAATCTGCGCCATTTAAACAATATTTCGCCACTTGGCGTGATGCTGGTATGGCGCATACGCGTTTGGTACGCTCTGCAATGGGTTATGACTCAGACGATTCGGACTTAACCGAACTCATTGATGTGGAGGACTTAAAGAAGAGTGGTGGTAGTGCTATGGGTTTTATGCCAGATAATGGCGAAAATGATATTGAAGAAGTTGTACAGTATGTCAGCAGTCATGGGCGTGGCGATACCTTACGTAATGTTATTCAAATGAAGACAAATATGCCGCTGTTAGGTTTCGCAGCTTATGTGATTACTTATAAATACAATAATAAGAATGGTGAATCGGGTGCGATCGTCTATGTGTGGGAAGGCGTTAAAGCTACACGTGCAGCAAAAGAACGCGCATTCGAAGATGCACTGGCTTTAGCACTTGAACGTAATGGAATTCTAGTACGTACCACCCAGGGTAATGAACCGCGTCATTTCCTCAAGATATTCAAAGGGAAACTTCTGACATCTTACACCTCTATACCTACCAAGCCACAATTATACCGCATACGTGGCACAGATGCCAGCGATGTGCATGCCAGCGAGGTGGCTGCCGATTCAGCTTCGTTGGCTTCGAAGGATGTCTTTGCTTTAATTACGTTGGATGACCATAAAGTCTACATATGGGTGGGTTTGGTAAGTACGGATTTTGCTATTTTTAAGTATAACTTTAAATAACCGATTAACTAAAATCACCTAGGCTGCAAGCAAATTCGAGAAAGATATGGCCATAGCGCGTTTCTCACAGTATTGGCCGGACCAAGTTGTCGAAGTGATTGAGGAAGGCGCCGAACCCGATAATTTTTGGGATATTTTACATGGAGAGGGCATCTACGACCGCAGCATGATTGAGGCCACCAAGCCCCTACTGGAACCTAGATTATTTCATGGTCGCTTAAACGGCCAGCGCTTGGAAGTTGAGGAGATTACGCATTTCGAACAAGCGGTAGGTATCATACTTTCTCATAATTATGTCACAGAAATATAAATTCATTGCATGTTTTCGAAAGGATCTCGATACCAATGACGTTATGTTGTTAGATGCTGGTGATGAAATCTATATGTGGGTTGGTGCTGGGGCTACAGCAGAAGAAAATGGCAGAATTCTTGATTTGGCTAAGGTTTGTTGCATCTTAAAAGCATTTAAAACTATATAAAACATATTTATTTATTTCATAATTTTTTTTTTTAACTGCAGAAATACATTGAAGATGAACCCACAGAACGCACAATCGATACAGTTACCGTCATCCGCGTCGAGCAGGGTAATGAACCACGTGCATTCACACGTATGTTCCCCTCATGGGAAGCTGGTTACTGGCAGGTCAGTAAAAACAGTATTGAATCAAGCGATTAGCAATATTTTTTAGTTTAATTCTTCTCCTTCGTACCAGGCAGTTTTTCACTTTTTTTATATTTTTTACTCAAATTTATTATATTTTATTGAAAAAATTGCATTTTCTATTAATATTATATTAATTGTTTTTTATTTTACCTTTTTCTTATTTTTATTGCATTTTTTTTAATTTTTTATTTATACTAAATAGCCAACACCTTCAAATGATGACATCCGGAAACATGTTGAGGACAGCAATGACATCTTCGACTCAAACGAGATTTAAAGGTGTTTAACCACACAATACTGTCTCGAATAATTTATAAATATGAAATGAACAATATATTTTGTGCAATAAAAACATCGAATTTATTTTAAAATTGAAAAAAATTATATAATTGTGTTTTTAGAAGTAGAGATTTTGAAATCAGGTAATAATTTTGAATAATTCACTGATCGCCATTTAGAATAAGGTTGTAAACGAACTAAGAACATTCTTGATCAGAAGAATATAAAAGATGGATTTAGATAACACAGTCAATTCGTCAGTTTCTTCTTATTATTATATATTATATTATTATAGAAAATTAATTTAAATAAAAATTTTAAGCTAATTTTCATAATTGCCCCTCGGCAGGGAATTTAAACCCCTCCGAGCGTATTTTTGACATGAAATAAGCGTTCCTCATAAAAGACCATCAGCCGTTCAGAGGCGGCTTAGTGTAAACTGTAGATCCATCCACAAATCCACAAATTGGAGGAAGAGCTCGGCGGAAAATCGCTTCAGCGGTTACAAAGCTCCAATTATATACTCAAACATATATATTATTTTATAAAATTTTATATATTTTTCTTTCTCAATTTTGTTTCATTTCATTTAATTTTACTGCTTTATTTTACTTTATCTCGTTTCATTTCAAATGTTTTAATTTTACTATATATATTTTAGTTTGATATTTCTCTTATTTCATTTTATTTTAATCGGTTTTAATTTGTGTTATTTTATTTCTATAATTTTTGTTTCGTTTTAATTTATTTGAATAGTAATTATTTTTGTCCTGATTTTCTATTTTATTGACTCATATATTTTATTTTATTTTAGTTTGTGTTTATAATTTTAATTCATTTTATATTAATTGCTATTTATTCTTTTTGTTTATTTCCTTGTATTTTATTTTATTTCATTGTTTTATTTCACTTAATTTCATTTCATTGTTCTATACTCATTTTATTTATTTTTTTTTTATTTTCTTTTAATTTTTTTTTTATTTTATTTTCTTTTATTTTGCTTTATTTAAATTTACTATATTTAATTATTTTTATTTTATTTTACTTCATATTATTTTATTTTATTGTTCTGCTTATTTTTATTTAATTGCTATGAAAATTATGGAATAATACCATTCATTATTAATTCCTCCTTTTTCATTAACTTCTGAAATTTAAACTTCAAGCTTTTCGAGCACACCATGATAAAAGTTCTATCATTTTATCCAGCTATTTATCCTTTTTTCGACAAGATTCATTTTATATCGTAGACGGTCATATATCATAGCAGCTATAATCACGTAGATGGTGCCTACTCCAGGATGTATCGTAATTAAAGGACACTGTTCCTCTGTTTTAACAGAGAAGCTTTAATAAATATTGTATCGTATTAATGGCGCTATAACACTGTATTTTTATTTATGGCATATCGTTTATAGCGCAGTATATTTAATATGTTGCTTTGTGATTTTGCGTTCGAAAGTTTTATTCTTCTGAAAAGGTTTTTGCTATTTATAGGACAGTGTACACAAAAACTGGAACTGAGATTAGCCGAAACAGAAGTTTAGTGCTTTTAATTATAATTTAAAGATATTAATCGTATGATTGGTAACTGTATTTGGATCTGAAAATGAATTGTAACTATTGAAACAGTAGATCTAGTAGGTCTAATATAGACATCCATAGTGTTATTCGAACATTAGCATCTAGTACATTAATATTCACAAAACTATAATATTACTCAAAATCAATCAATCGATGGCATACGAGTATGTATGAATTGTAAGTTGGCTCAAATAAATATACTAAAATTTCCCTGATCGCCCATGTATGAATTTCTCAGTCAATTTTTTTACTCTTTCTTTGTTCTAGATCTTTTTCGTTCACATAGTTTTTTAAAACGTGTTTCCCTTTTCGGCTAACCACTGGCGATCTCACGGTGCAAAATTTACTGGCTTTTTGCCTCACCGAAAGAGGTTTAATAAAAATTGATAACAGTTGTTACTGCCCATCCGCTCACGGGAACTAATATCATTTGCGAAGATAAAAATATTTTATATTTAATATTTATTTTCTACTATACAAATTGACGGATCGTGGTTGGGATGCGTTAATGAACCTACCATATAGTCCGGGTCCTGCACCGCCTGCTTACTATTCGTTTCGGTATCTGCAAAATTCTATTTGTGGTAAAAACTTTTAAGACCCAAGAGCGTTTGGTCAAGTATAGGATCGATATGTACCTACTTGATTAAAATTAAAAATGAACTAAAGTAAGCCGCGGGGTTCATTATAAAGATTAATTAAATATCGACATTGACTATCATCATTAGCTGCAAAATTGATATACGAATAAAAAAAGGTGGGAATTAGTGAATTAGCATACAATCCTTTTTAAAAAAGTTATGGTCATACGAGTATTAACCCACTAGTGGTGCTGCGCTGATTTACAGTGAGTTCAAAAAATGTTCACGTATAGTAAAAAATATCGCACTACAGCTGCTCCTTAGAAAAATAAACATCCACATATTTTTTTTTTTAACGAAAAGTAAAGTATATTTAATTAAAAACATTTTAACACTAACAATTATTTCATTTGAAAATTTCTTGGAGCTATGGTACATATAAAGTAATACAATTCATGTGAAAAATTTTTGAACTTAGAGGTAAAGTAGCGATTGAAGTTCAATAACTAATAATTTGTGGGGCATCCTTTAGCTTTTATGACTGCTGTAATACGGTCAGGCATAGATATAACTAGATTATCTAAAATACTTTTTGAACTCACTGTAGATTATGAGAACAAAAGTTCGTTATCGTTATCTTTATCAAACAAGTATTTTGCTGGTGGTATGTATATTATATAAGCTTGTATACCTTGTGAACAAGTTTTAAGTAATCATAAAAATCTATTATGTTATCTTTCAGTACGAACTAAAATAAATTAAAACATGATATATTGCCATTGTGAGCGAGAGAAAATAAAAATTTGTTATCATTGCTCATATGTTTTCTGAGAGAAGATTATTGGTATGTATGGTTGAGAATTGAATTAAGTGAGAATTCTCAGCTCATTTTAAAGTATGTAGAAGGTAGATTTCTTTGGAGCTGTACTTAAAGTTTATCAAAGGAATGTTGAAACCTACCTATTCCTAAAGATATATTTTTATATATGCAACTGCAATAGCCGAGCGGCCTGACCAAACATCTACATCAACATAGAAAATCAATTTTTCTAAATTCGGTCGTCGCTGGGCAGTGAATTTCAACCCCTCCGTGTGTATTTCTGACATGAAAACCAAACCAATGGGCTATTTGGAGGCGGCTTAGAATAAACGATAGGTCAATTTGTCGGTAAAACATCAAGAACAACAAACTGCTGACATCAACAATTATTAATTTTGAAGAATTATTAATTTGAAAAACCGGCAGAGTGATTGAAGATTTACATCTTTTTTATTTTAAAATCCATATAACGGTAATATTGAATAGTACAAAAATAACGATCATTTAGTAACTACTCGTAAATGAGAAAAATTTATCTTTTGGGTATAATTGTAGACCTCAGTAGCCTTTAAGATTTGTAATTCTTGTGGTGTAATATGAATACAAATTGAATACCGACATAACGGTACTTTTCTCGAATATCGAATTACGAACCCATTTATCAAACGAACTCAATCAAACTTGATAGGTATGGGATTCTAAAGTCCCGCCAAACAGAAAAACAACTGACTGTTCTTAGGTCCAGAAAAGAACCAGCTTCCCATATACCAGACTGTTTACTTTTGACCAATCAATTGACTTGATTTCCTCCAAATCGTCCCAACTTACTAATGTTTTTTAAACTATAACTACCGATGTAAAGGAGTTTTCAATAAGAAATGTTATTTTGATATTCACAGAAAATTTTTCCCCTGAAACATCAATGGTTTCGTTGCTTGTGCGGCACTTAGCGCCGTCTTGTTGAAGGAAAACTTTACCCAGACCAATGCCATACAATTCCGATTTGAAAAAACATTAATAATCTCTCCATAGCGTAAAATGACACCTCAGCAGTTGCACGTTGAGGATGGAGAGACTTTTCAACAATAAATCTTGGGTTATCCGAGCCCCAGATGGGACAGTTTGGCTTAGTGACGTAGCTATCGAGAGGGAAATGAGTCTCATCAGTCAACATAATTTTTCGCTGAAATTTTTAAAGTGAATTTTAATAATGTCAAAGCGTCGTTTCTTTTTTTTACATCCATTGTTATTACTCGCGTAGTTTTTATCTTGTCAAAAAATTACAGCTTCATAAGTGACATCTACGGAAATAGCAGGCTGTTCAAAATAACATATCTAATTGGTAAATATGTATATGTAATGTGTTTTTTAATAAACCGAAGACTAGTGCTTGGCACAAAAATAGCTGATTTCTCAGCTCTCGCTACCTGGCATCATTTGATATTGGTCCACATTTAGTTGCATACATATGTATGTTTATGTATTTTTTTTCGTGTGTATGTTAGGTAGAAAAAAGAGCACAATTCGCCAAGAATGTGGCGAACGATCTTGGGGTTTCAGTACGTTTTTGACTTTCTAATTGACCGGTTGTGTGGAAGTTCTCTTAGTTTTGTATTTTTAAATTCGTAAACTTCAATTTGATTGCATTTAAGTGCTTATTGCAAGTATTTTTAGATAACAGAAGCATTTGGACTGAAGCTGTTAAATTGACATTTAAACATATGCGTTTTTTAAGAATTTTTTTAAATACTCGTTAAATAAATAAATATTTATGGGACTGTAAATATAAATTAGAGTTCAAAGAGTTCTGACAAAATGACAACAAATGGAAATTCGTTTATAGTGCCGGTGGAAAAGGAGTCACCACTGATATTTTTTGTCAATGGGAAAAAGGTGTGTAACTTCTTACGTGTACAATAGTTTTTTCCTAAATCATAGGGTAATACAGAATAAACGGTAAACGGTTCAGTAAGTATCAACAAAGTGAATACTATTATCTACTATGTGGGCCACGCGTTTCAAACTAACACACACATACACACACACACACACATAGAAAAACACAAAAACCTGTTACTGGCCAAGGTGTAAGTTCTTTCTGAAGTGTCAAATTGTTTATCTGTAGTTTTTTTCACAGCGATATTACACTATACAGCTGTTGCCCTACTGAAAGCTCCATATGATTTAAATCGAAATCAACATCCCAGAAAAGTAGTTAAAATACATATTTACACAAAGCTTAAGAATAATCACTTCAAATGAATGAATTAAGTAAAATTATCTGCTGCGCTTCATATGAAGCGTTAAACAATAAATGATTTTCTCTATATGTATACTCCACTATTTACTTAGTTGTTATGATGACGTCCATTAATTTTTTCATTAAATTCACAACGACACACCCTCTTCAATCAATGGTTTCAAAGTAAGCTAAAAGAACTTTAATTTGATAATAAAAGCAACAAAAAAAAAACCAAACCAAAAAAAAAGACGTCGAATGAACGTTATCTTGCTCTTCATTTCGATGGTTGAGGGATACACTAATTTTCAATGGTCCCGATGACGACGCGAAGGTTGTGGAACCACGAAAGCCTCGTGCAAGATATTTCATGCAACTGATGTTCCGACGCTAGAATCTTGCACAAGATGGATGTAACTTTTGATGTCTTTCATGTACTTACATGATTGGGTATAATAACTTAGGTGCGAAATATGTATGTATCAGAAGAAGAAGAGATGGACTTTTTCAAATTTATGCCTGTCGGGTCAAGTCAAAATGACGAGTTGAGTTTGTCGTGTGTTTATGAGCTATTTCAACCAACACAGATGCACTTTTGCAATTAAACAATCATTTGCCGGAACCGGGTCGATCGGAGCCATCATTTGAAATACGGTATTTTCCAGACATTTGATAAATTACACTCACAAAATTATCGAAATCAAACGACTATAGCTCGATAGACCGATTTTTCCAGATATGCGGCTTTGATCGAAACTCCGCCAACAAAAAAGCATCTACAAGTGTGAGGTTTGGTATTCTACTCATGTATGTAAATACAGATAAATATTATGTCCGAAAACCATGGAAATCGGAGGACTATAACATGTAACTCCCACTCAACCGATTTGTCAGATGTGAGGTTTTGTTTAAAAAATCCGCCAAGAAAGCCTCTAAAGTCGTTAAATTTGATATTCTCTACACGCATATGCAAATAAACACCGAAGATCTTCGAAAACTTCATCATACTCGTATAGTCGACTCCAACTAATTTTCCACTGAAAATACAGATTTTTCATAGCTCGACTTTATCGACACCTAAATAAAAATTTTTAATAGCATTTAATTAAAATATCGATCTTTGCACTAACTAGTGACTACCCTATATCCTCGCAAATATGAAATATTTCACATAAAAAATATATATGTATTTTACATTTTTATTTTAATGTAGATTTTTCCTAGCGACCTATTTTGCAGGTAGAATATATTAAATGCAAAAATAAATATGATACTTATATTAATTCTCATAATAAACAAATACTTATTACTTATTGCTTCTGTAATACGTCAACGATCCCCTACTAAGTTGATAAGCTTTCGACCTACAATACATCTACATACTCGTATATATTGTAGTATACCTGTCTATATATGCGCACGTTTGAATTTGTACCCAAACCCAGCAAAAAATTTCGGACCATATGGTGAATTGGAGTAACCCAATAGATACATCTCTGTAGTGTGCTATTAGACCAATTGGCGTCAGCTTGTTGTTAGGCGATGATTGATAACGATCGCAATTACTAAACGATATTGCAAATTCGCAGAAAATGTGTGAAAATGAAATTGAGTGAGTTTCGTTTCGTTGGAAAGCTCTGTTGGTTCACAGAAGGCGTGCTGAAGTGATCATATATATTTTTTAATGTAAATCGGAAAAATTCATGAATTAAAATATGTTTATTAGTAAAATTTAATAATAAATAAATTGATAATGAGATATACATATATAAAAGGAAATATTTTATTTTACTAACTCGTCATCATATCATCATATTTTGTTCGAAACTAAAAAGTATGAGCGTACCAACTTGGACACATATACAGTGGGCCGAACTTGATTTTATATAAAAAAAAATAAACAAGTTTTTTCTCTCAAAAATATTTATTTATGTAAATTTGGGAAACAATTTCTTATACCGAAGAAAAGACAAATTATACAAATTTTATTTTTGATTTCACGTACTATCGCCACCGCAGCCACATATTTCCCCCTTTGTTTTTATTAAAAGACGGCGCAAAACTTATCGAAAAATAAGCTACCGTGCAAGGTTTTGATCAAACCAAGGTAGCCGAATACCACACAAATTTAATATATATGAGAAAATATGTGAAAAGCGGGTCTTATTACAATTTTGCTTCCGCCGTTTTCCAATAGGTGGCTGTACCGGCTGAGGCTGGTTGAAATACATAAATAGATGACAATGCCTTTAAAGTGAGTGTGGATAGTGCCTAACGAATTGTCATCGCCGTGAATTATTACGGCCTCACGTCGCAAACGTGGTCAAAAAGTATCTGGAAACGCTGAAATTGGAAGTCTTGCCCCACCCGTCGTATTCCTCAGATGTCGCCCCTTCTGACATCCACCTATTCCGTTCGATGGCACACGGCCTGGCAGATCAACATTTTCAAGCCTTCGAAGAATTGGAAAAATGGATTGCTTCATGGATAGCGTCAAAAGAGGACTCCTTTTTTCGAGCCGGGGTCCGAAATTGATGGGAGAAAGTTGTCGCTAGCGAAGGACAATACTTTGAATAATATATCTGTAAGCACTTTTTCGCAATAAAGCTTTTAATTTTGGAAAAAAACGGCGGAAGCAAAGTTTTAATTACTTTATAATATTGCGCTTTTGCTTTTAATTTTGATAAAAATTGAGAATTTTGACATTATTTTCTCAAGCCATTTATATTACATAAAACCAAAAGTCAGAGTTGTTAGCTATAGAAATTTTCCTTAAAAAAATAATATTAATTGTTATAATTTAAAATATTTTGAAAACGTGAAGACATTTTTTCGACCTAAAACTAATCAGAATTTTTTACAATAATTGTGATTATTATTTGAAAGCGAGGCTTTAGAATTTTAATGTCAAAATTTTATGTTGTTTTATAGGTAAAATTAAGAAAATTTATTTTAAAATCATCAGCAACCCACAAAATTGATCCAACTTCACGCATCGGTCAGCTTTACGCTCGATTCCACTTAGCTACAGCTCTGCTATATTAGCACGAATTTGTATTGATTTCTAAGCATTTATCAACTTTATGCTCAGCTCGGCTGGACTCGGTTTTCAGTGAGCACTCTGCCAGAGGCCCTAGAGAGCTCGCAAGTGAACTATAAATTACTTTCGTTTAATGTGTAAATGGCTAACATACATTCGCTGTATCGGACGGACGTGGCGGCTCTTTACCGAACACTGTTAAGTGCGTTAAAGTTCATTTATTAAAAGTAGCACAACTCTAGGCGCATATTTTTTTTGCACTCACTTCATTCTGGTCTTCAATGAACTAGTTTGGTGATGGACGACTTTTTTTTATTAGCTTATAATTTTCACATGGGTGGATACATTTTTAATTTATTGTTTACAATAACACACTCGGTTTTTTTTTTTTGTTAAAATGTAAACAACCTGATTGCACTTGACGTTTTGATTCCACTTATCAGCTTAAGCGAAAGATCGAAAACCTCTTAATGTTTTTAACAAAATTTTGAAGTATTTTAGTTTTTTAAATTTTTCTTAATTAAAATTAAATTTGTTTATTCATTTTATTTCAAATATTATAATTGTAAAAAGAAAGAAAAAAATTTATGGTTTGAAAGAGAAAATGGTAATTTTTGTTGTAGTTTTGGAATTAAATTACTCATGATAAGTCTGAGATCTTTCAATAGAATACTAATTAATTTTATTCTTATCATCACTTAGGTTATTGATCCCACACCCGATCCGGAATGCACATTACTCACATACTTGCGCGAAAAACTGCGTTTGTGCGGCACGAAATTGGGTTGTGGCGAAGGCGGCTGTGGCGCCTGTACAGTTATGTTGTCGCGCGTTGATCGTGCCACAAACAGTGTGAAACACCTGGCGGTGAATGCTTGCCTAATGCCCGTCTGCGCAATGCATGGCTGTGCCGTGACTACTATAGAGGGTATTGGCAGCACTCGGACACGTTTACATCCCGTACAGGAACGTCTGGCGAAGGCGCATGGCAGTCAATGTGGTTTTTGTACACCGGGCATTGTTATGTCCATGTATGCACTATTGCGAAGTATGCCTTTACCATCGATGAAAGATCTAGAGGTGGCTTTTCAAGGCAATCTTTGCCGTTGTACTGGTTATCGCCCCATTTTGGAGGGTTATAAAACTTTTACCAAAGAATTTAGCTGTAGCATGGGTGAGAAATGCTGCAAGTTGCAAAGCAATGGAAATGATGCAGAAAAGAATGGCGATGATAAGCTGTTTGAGAGAAGTGCATTTTTGCCCTTCGATCCGAGCCAAGAACCGATCTTTCCACCAGAACTGCATTTAAACTCACAATTTGACGCTGAAAATCTACTTTTTAAAGGGCCGCGTTCCACTTGGTATCGGCCGGTGGAGCTTTCGGATTTGCTAAAGCTGAAATCGGAGAATCCACATGGTAAAATTATCGTAGGCAATACAGAGGTTGGTGTGGAAATGAAATTCAAACAATTTCTATACACGGTGCACATTAACCCGATCAAAGTGCCTGAATTGAATGAGATGCAAGAGTTGGAGGATAGCATTTTATTTGGTTCCGCTGTCACCTTAATGGATATTGAAGAATATCTGCGCGAACGTATTGCGAAATTGCCCGAACACGAAACGCGTTTCTTCCGTTGTGCCGTGAAAATGTTGCACTACTTTGCCGGCAAACAAATTCGTAATGTGGCCTCGCTCGGTGGCAACATCATGACGGGCAGTCCGATTTCCGACATGAATCCCATATTGACGGCAGCTTGTGCTAAGCTCAAAGTGTGTAGTTTAGTCGAAGGAAGGATAGAAACTCGCGAAGTATGCATGGGTCCCGGTTTTTTTACTGGTTATCGTAAGAATACAATACAACCGCATGAAGTCTTGGTTGCTATACACTTTCCGAAGAGCAAGAAAGACCAACATTTCGTCGCCTTCAAACAAGCGCGCCGTAGGGACGATGACATTGCTATTGTAAATGCTGCTGTAAATGTAACATTTGAGTCAAATACCAATATCGTACGACAAATCTATATGGCCTTTGGTGGCATGGCGCCCACAACGGTTATGGCGCCAAAAACGTCACAAATCATGGCCAAGCAAAAATGGAATCGTGTGCTGGTTGAGCGTGTCTCCGAGAGTTTGTGTGCGGAATTGCCACTAGCGCCAACCGCACCGGGTGGCATGATCGCGTATCGCCGTTCGTTGGTGGTGAGTTTATTCTTTAAAGCCTATTTGGCAATCAGTCAAGAATTAGTTAAATCCAACGTCATTGAAGAGGATGCAATACCAGAACGAGAGCAGAGTGGCGCTGCAATCTTTCACACACCTATTTTGAGAAGTGCGCAACTCTTTGAGAGAGTATGTGTCGAACAGTCAACATGTGATCCCATTGGCCGACCAAAGGTGCATGCCTCGGCATTCAAGCAAGCAACGGGTGAAGCAATTTACTGTGATGATATACCACGTCATGAGAACGAGCTGTATCTTGCACTGGTGCTCAGCACCAAGGCACATGCGAAAATTGTGTCCGTCGACGCAAGCGATGCGCTCAAACAGGCTGGGGTACATGCTTTCTTTTCTAGTAAAGATATAACTGAGTACGAAAATAAAGTTGGCTCTGTGTTTCACGATGAAGAAGTCTTCGCTTCCGAACGAGTTTACTGTCAAGGGCAGGTGATTGGTGCTATTGTGGCAGATAGTCAAGTGTTGGCACAACGTGCCGCGCGTCTAGTGCACATCAAATACGAAGAGCTCACGCCTGTTATTATCACAATTGAGCAGGCTATCAAGCATAAATCATACTTTCCAAATTATCCACAATACATTGTGCAGGGTGATGTGGCTACAGCGTTTGAGGAAGCTGATCACGTCTATGAAAACAGCTGTCGTATGGGTGGCCAAGAACATTTCTACTTGGAGACAAACGCTTGTGTAGCCACACCGCGAGATAGTGATGAAATTGAACTGTTCTGTTCGACCCAAAATCCCACCGAAGTACAAAAACTTGTAGCGCACGTCTTATCTGTGCCGTGTCACCGCGTCGTGTGTCGGTCTAAGCGTTTAGGGGGAGGATTTGGTGGCAAGGAGTCTCGTTCTATTATCTTGGCACTTCCGGTGGCCTTGGCAAGCTATCGGCTACGAAGACCCGTGCGTTGTATGCTGGATCGAGATGAAGATATGATGACAACAGGCACAAGACATCCTTTTCTCTTCAAGTACAAAGTGGGTTTTACCAAAGAGGGTTTGATAACGGCTTGTGATATTGAATGTTACAATAATGCCGGCTGCTCAATGGATCTGTCATTTTCGGTGAGATTTTATTACGAAAACGATCTAATTAAAATAAATTAAACTGCTTAACCCAAAAATATTAGGTTTTGGATCGTGCAATGAACCATTTCGAAAACTGTTATCGCATACCCAATGTGAAAGTCACTGGTTGGGTGTGCAAAACGAATTTACCGTCTAATACGGCATTTCGAGGATTTGGTGGGCCGCAGGGCATGTTCGCCGCGGAGCACATCGTCAGAGATGTGGCGCGCATTGTGGGCAAGGATTATTTGGATATAATGCAAATGAATTTTTATAGAACTGGAGATTACACACACTACAATCAGAAATTGGAAAATTTCCCCATTGAAAAGTAAATATTTTAATAGTAAAAATGATAATTTATAAGAGTTTTTTTTTTAGTATTAATATTCTTTTATTATCTCTCCTTTCAGATGCTTCACTGATTGCCTGAATCAGTCGGAGTTCCATAAGAAGCGCTTGGCTATTGAAGAATTTAACAAAAATAACCGTTGGCGCAAACGTGGTATCGCGCTTGTGCCCACCAAATATGGTATCGCCTTCGGTGCTATGCATTTGAATCAAGCCGGCGCGCTCATAAATATATACGGTGACGGTTCAGTATTGCTTTCACATGGCGGCGTCGAGATCGGGCAAGGTCTGCACACCAAAATGATTCAATGTTGTGCGCGTGCATTGGGTATACCAACCGAACTGATACATATAGCCGAAACAGCAACCGATAAAGTACCCAATACATCACCGACTGCCGCCAGTGTTGGCTCCGATATAAATGGCATGGCTGTGCTTGATGCATGCGAGAAGCTAAACCAGCGACTCAAACCGATTAGAGAAGCCAACCCGAAAGCCACGTGGCAGGAGTGGATAAGTAAAGCATATTTTGATCGTATAAGCCTATCGGCAAACGGTTTTTACAAAATGCCCGATGTTGGTGATGATCCAAAGACAAATCCAAATGCACGTACTTACAATTATTTTACAAATGGTGTTGGCGTATCAGTAGTTGAAATTGATTGCCTTACTGGTGACCATCAAGTATTGAGCACAGATATCGTCATGGATATTGGCTCGAGTTTGAATCCAGCAATCGATATTGGTCAAATCGAAGGCGCTTTTATGCAAGGCTATGGTTTATTTGTTTTGGAAGAACTTATTTATTCACCACAGGGTGCACTCTATTCACGGGGACCAGGCATGTACAAGCTACCAGGATTTGCAGATATTCCGGGTGAATTTAATGTAAGCCTACTGACTGGCGCACCTAATCCAAGAGCTGTTTATTCTTCAAAGGTATTTTGTCAATAATTAAATGCATATATTCTTATATACTCGTACATATGTATTTATAAGTAAATATATATTTGTTTCAACTTAGGCTGTTGGAGAACCTCCCTTATTCATTGGCAGTACCGTATTTTTTGCTATAAAGGAAGCTATTGCCGCTGCGCGCGCCGAACGCGGTTTGAGTATCACTTTCGAGCTGGACGCTCCGGCGACTGCTGCGCGTATTCGAATGGCGTGTCAGGACGAATTTACCGATTTGGTAAATTTCACTTTTAGTCTTCGCATTAAACAAAAGTTTAATAATATTATTCTTTAAAGATTGAACAACCGTCGCCTGGAACTTATACTCCTTGGAATGTTGTGCCATGAAATGTAAATGCAAAACTGATTGGATTGGCCAAAGGGTTTCACACCATAAGAATTTTTTAGGATAATTTTTTAAAATACATTACAGATGTATACAGCACTGATTGAAATACAGCATGCAATTCTGATTCCAGAACGGTCTTGAATTTTCTAAAAGCAGAACAAGTTGCAGTACATGCTGGACATACGTTGGGTATGTTTGGGTAGAGTGTGGATAAATAAGAGTTGAACCTGCTACAATATCCAGACCTAAGTTGCGCCAGTATTACGCGTGTTCGTCTGCTATGGGTGGTGATTTGACTCCGAGGGCATTATTCACAGGGAGGGTGGTGTGTTTCGTTTCCTGGTGAATGTCGTTTAGTGCCTGTCTACATGCCGTCCTGTCTAGCGGTTATTGTACGTTGTTGTTGTTGTTGTTGAAACCGCAAAAATATTTCCCAAAGTACTTTTTGGGGAATGTTGCGGGAGTGACAGTCCTTGGCCGGATAAAAATCCGGGTCGTTCCGGTAGAAAAAACCGACTGTCGCGGGAACGGTTGTTGTACGTGTTGCTGGTCGCTGGATTGTTCCTTTAAATCTAGTACTCCCAATTTGATGTGCCTGAGTGGAGGTTGAGCCTCTATTATATGCCTATTGGAATGCTGCGACAAAGCAATACTCCTAAAGTCGTAGCCCAAATGCTTCACTGTGCAAGTGATGTTCAGGCGACATCAGAAGGTATCCTTTCACGGTCCTAGAACGGTGTTTCGGTAGGCCTGTAGCTTCTTCAATTGCGTCTCGTTCGTCCACGATGCTTAGATCGATTGCAGAGTGAAGTAGTGCAGGCTTTAAAATGTGACTGCCGTAACTTTGGGTTGTTTGTGGTCGGAATTATGATGCAATCGACCTACACATCAAGTTCGAGCCTGTTTTCCTTCGTACTGGTGGTGAAAAGGATTTAGTTGGTTGTATTTTTAGTTGTCGTGCAGTTGAGAAGTGAGATAGGTCGTCGAGATAGCCGTTTACTTTCGAAAAAAAATCATCAATATCCTGGCCAGACGCCAATATCGAGCAATCATTTGCATATGAGGTCAAGGAGTCCCCTTCTGGTAGAGGAGGGAGCTTCGAAACAGTAACGGGAAGAGTACACCGGGATTTTATCCGTCAATGGCTGTCACTCTTTCGGCGATCTAACCCCGTTTAGGTCAAGAGGTAACATTAGTCTAAGGTCATCAATGAAGCAAAATCTCGCAGCTGGGCTGGTCCAAATTTTTCTCATCAGGGCTGGCATCAAGACCACCCTGGTCCGCTAAACTCAAAGCAGACCTTTATGTATGTACATATGTATATATATATATGTTTGTTTTCTACGCTTATTCGAAAAAGGTCTATTAATCAAGTGTACAAGAACCAAGCTCAGATTGTTCGAAATTTAGTTCGTGCTTTATATTTAGATCACCAGAAATATTTCTTAAATTTGTTTTTTCGGCCTTTATTATTATTTTTTTGCTATAAATTAGTGGGCGAAAAACAATTTGAGTCAATTAACGCCCGAAAGTATACTTGATTACTAAACAACTAACTATCCACTTAATTAAAAGATAGCGGCTAAATTAATTTAACAACTGTTGGTTAAAAAATAATCGTATAATATAGCAACAAATTACAATACTGATGTCGGCTCGTCTGTTAAGTCAGGGAGTCTTGGTTCGTCCATATAAATAAATAAATCGCTTACTAATTCTTTCTTTATGAGAAAGAGATCATCAACAGACTGACAAAATTTATTATTATTGTATATAAGCATATGTCGTGAATAAAAAGTTCGTTGCGTCATTATTATTCAGGTCCCCAGTACAAGCTAATCTTATACGTTTAACTTTATTGTGAGTAAGCGTAGATCCGAGTGATGCATACGCCTTAGTTCAAAACATTCGTATTGGCATTTACGTAAAATATGTGTACCTACTTTGAGCAGCGAAATATCTAGCTAAAACAAAAATTAATAATATTTTAAGTTACATTGTGATTAATTAAAACTTTTATTTATCTTTTGCAATAATAAAAGAAAAATTTAACAAAATACATAGAAATCTACACTAATAGATGGCCTGGCCTGCTAATATAACAAATTCTGCTAGTATATAATGCTATTTCGTATATCTATGTGTATGAGTTTAATACTGCAAACATAAAACTAAATACTTAAGTTTATTTTGTAAGCATTAATCCACTTCCTTAACGGCGGATCCACCATAATTGCCGCCTACATTGTTACAAGATTGTTTACCGCAATAGCTAGGCTGTGGACCGGAACCGTCTGCTGAAAGCTGCATCTTTGCTAAAGTTGCACTACAGATTTTGGTCAACTCCTTAAGCTTATAATCGTAATCTTCTTTTTCGGCAGTAGTAGTATTGGCGTCCAGCCATTTAATCGTCTCTTTGAACTTTTTCAGCACTAGATATTTATCAGAATGATCTAGCTCATTGCCAGCTTTATCAGCTGCTTGTTTTATACTAAGTACATAGTTTTTGAGTTGATTATGCGCAGCAATTCTTTGCCGTTCTTTTTCTTTTTCAGCGGCATATTCTTTAGCTTCATCAGAAAGGCAAACGACTTCTACTAGAGTTAAGCGTATTTTATCTTCTCTACGGACTCGAAGTTTCGTAGCCTTTTCAGAGATCAACTGGGCTGTCACATTCAAAATTCCATTGACGTCTACATCGAAAGTTACATCTATTTTGGGTACACCACGCGGTGCTAGCGGAAGTCGATACAAAAGGAAATTGTCCAGCAGATTAATGTCTTTGGCCGATGCAGGTTCGCCCTCAAATACATGAATATTGACAAATGGTTGATTATCCGAGGAAGTTGTGAATTTTATAGATCGTTTGTATGGAATACGGGTGTTTCGCTCCATGAGTTTGGTGGTAACTAAGCCAGTGGTTTCAATTTCTAATAAATATGGTGCTACATCTACTATACTTACGCCCTGAATTTGACTACTCTTATCACCACTTAAAATTGCTGCTTGAATCGCAGCACCGTTTACTACCGCCTCATCTGACATAAAAAGATTCAAACTCTTTCCACCGAAGAATGTTTGTAGCAAACTTTGTACTTTAGGAATGCGTGTAGAACCACCAACCAAAATAATATCGTGGATTTGACTTTTGTCCATTTTAGCGTCGTTCAAAACTTTTTCCACTGAATCCAAAGTGCTATGGAACAAATCATCACACATTTCTTCGAAGCGTGCTCGACTTATTTTTGTATAGAAATCTACGCCCTCATACAAAGCATCAAGTACAATGGTGGCTTCTGTGCTCGATGACAAAATGAGCTTCGATTGTTCGGCCGCTGTACGCAAACGACGCATTGCTTGTGGGCTCGATCGTAAGTCCTTTTCATATTTTTGTTCAAATTCTTCTGCAAAGTGGTTGACCAGGCGGGTGTCAAAATCTTCACCACCCAATCGTGTGTTTCCTGCTGCAGCGCGTACCTCAAACAATTTGTCCTCTTTAATTGTCACAATTGATACATCAAAAGTACCACCTCCTAAATCGAATATGAGCACATTGCGTTCGCCTTTAAGATTCTCGTCCAAACCATACGCTAAAGCTGCTGCTGTTGGTTCATTTATAATTCGAAGAACATTCAATCCAGCAATGGCACCAGCGTCTTTTGTAGCCTGGCGCTGAACGTCTTTGAAGTAAGCTGGTACTGTAATGACTGCATCCTTCACTGTTGTTCCCAGATATGCTTCGGCAGCCTCTTTCATTTTAATCAACACCAATGAACTGATTTCTTCGGGAGATATTAGCAACTTTTCTTCATCTTTAAGGTCAAGATCGAATTTTACCCTTGCGCAAACGACAGCTGCGTCAAAAGCTGACCAATCCTTTACGTCTTGAAACATTTTCTCATCATAACAATTTCGTCCAATCAAACGTTTTATATTGAAAACTGTGTTTTTTGGGTTCATGGCAGCTTGATTTTTCGCAGCATCTCCAATTAACCGCTCTGAATCTGTGTACGCAACAAAGCAAGGTGTTGCGCGATTACCTTGTTCATTTGGAATGATTTCCACTTTGCCATATTGGAAGACTGCAACTCTTGCGTATGTTGTCCCCAAATCAATTCCAATTGCAACCATTTTATCAACTTGATGTTTTGCTCTATATACGAGTATACTGTTTTTAATAAAACTTTACTGTTCTTTAATATTTTGAAGACAGGCTAGTTAAAAAGTGTTTTTAAATTTGTGCTCTTGTTTTCTTTTCTTAATATAAGCTAAGCAGCAAAGAGACTCTATTTATATCAACTCAAACAGAGAGTGAATTTGTTATAACTTGATTTTTTAAATCTACACAAGAGTTCTTTTAAACAAGCGGTTCAAGGCGAAAAAACAACTATAGAAAAAGGGGAATGTTCTCTGGGCGCCCACAAACATTTTGGAGATTATTTAAATATGTATTCGTTAGGTGGATGGCAAGAATAATTGAGAATAATAGATTGCGCCAAAGTGTTTCTCAAATCTGATATTACGTCACAATGTACATGCGTAAAAACAATCCTGTTATTTGATAATTTCACTCAGTATAAAACTATCAGGATAAGATTTTTTGACATCACATTTTATTTTCATTTAACTTCAAGATATTGCCACCTAGAAAAAAATGCTAACACGCTAAAAAAAATATTCATCTAGATTTCAAAAAATACAAAGCAAAATGAATTTGAATCTTTTAAGCACTTTTTAATTTTTTTTTAATTTTTGCTTACGTTTTGTAATATAAATTTTTAGAAAATTGAATTTTGAAAACAAGCAGTTCATAGCACAAAAATTAAGCAAAATTCAAAAATCGTTTTACGTCAGATAGTTAATGTTAAAAATAAGTTTAAGCAGAATCCTAAAGAGATTGCCTGATACTAACAATAGTTATGCTCTAAATTGAGTAAGAAAAGATAAAGGAAAGGAAACGAGTAGGCCCTACATTTAATATGACATCCCTTCGCTTCCTAGACCATTCCATTTGCTTAAGAGATAATTCAAAGACGTATACAATATGCATTCTCTTTTGAAGCCGATTTGAAAAAAAAATTACTGCCGGCTTATTTTCAACTCTGTGCTAGTTGCCAAAATATTAGGTGTATGCATTAATTCGTGCGGTTTTCTAAGAGAGGGCTCAACTGCCATTTCACGTAGTTTTCAGTAGATTACATTAGTTTTAGCGTGAACAACAATTTTTTTTATTCATTTGAAAATGACGAAATTTGTACCAGATAAAGCTTTTTTTGCGGGGATGCCTTCTTCATTATCGTATGGGCGTTAATGGTGACCATGCTTTAACCGAACGAACGTGCCAAAAGTGGTTTGCACGGTTTAAATGTGGCAATTTCGACTCAGACGACGGACATTCAATAAAATTTCAAGACGAAGAATCGGAGACAAACTCTCGACGCAGATGCATGCCAGGCACAAGAAGAACTTGCAAAAGTATTAGGAGTTGATAAAGCAACCGTTTCCAGATGATTAAATTATTTTTTCACATTAAAGTCTTAATTTACGAAAAAAAAGTACTTTTAAGTTCCATTATATATTCTTAACAATGACAAAAATAAAATTCGAAACCGAAAGAGGCAGTGAATCACGAGTATATACATATGTACATAAATTTTTACTCTCAGAAACCTATAGTTTTCGAGATATTTCTGCCGAACGGCTAATGGTTTTTATTATGAGAAGCCTTCATTCTTAGCCGAGGGCGATCGCAAATAGAAAATTGTGCTCAACCAGCAAGGTGGAGTTACTAGAGCAGTGATTTTTTTCATTACTTTGCTTCGGAGTAGACTGTCAAAATTTTCGTTTATGTTTTGTATGTTTGTTTATATTTTGCATTTAATTTGAGTTTGAAAAGTGAAATTTTCATATTTTTGTGTGAGGCTCTTATCTTCTCAAATGTTCGAACCATTTTGCGAGACAGTGAAAGAAGTGGTAGCATTCAAAGGATTGTTCCTTTGCGACCACAATCATTGGAGTAATAGACTGTTTTCCCATACAGTCCATTTGAACGGTTATCTGGTATTGCACCCGCCGCTTTGCTAATGGATAACCGGTCCAGAAAGATTTCGCTGTCCAATTTTGGCCATAGGTGTCTGGTTATAATCTAATGTTTCCTTTTTTGGCCTGACGCTGCATTGGCCTGGTAATTTCATGCTCATGCTTATTGGTGTGGACCTCCTTTTTCTACGGGCGTTTGTTCTTCCCCATTCGTTCCTGTTTGAAGAGATTGTCTAAGCAATTCGTTATGTTTTGTGTGTACACACATATGTACCTCCGAGATTTTTCGACAATTTTTCTAAGCTCCACAAGATGAAGGATCTACACCTTTCTGGGACAGGAAATTGCGATTATTTTATGGTTAAATATAATATATTTTTCCAATATTAACTAAAAATTATAATTATAATAATTTCATATATAAACACAGCGTTACATAAAACAAAGAACTGCGGTGTTCTAGTAATCTCTAAAAATCACAATAATTATAGCACTTCAATACATATGTATATCGGATAAAGTATGAGTCTAATGGCCGTTGCTACAATTCCCTTCCAATGAAAGAGCTATTAAAAAAACACTGCAATAAAAGAAACCAACTCTATTTTAATGTAATTTAAATTAGCAAACTTTGATTCTTAAACTGACGAAATTAATTTTAATTTTTGTTTTTCCTCTTTTCTGACTTTTGTTTTGAAATATTGAATCAAATTGACAAAAGCGAATTGAATAAATTTGCCATGGTTTGGACAGTTGTTACGCTGAAAACAAAAACAAAATATACGATAATTGTTTTATTTGTTCTCCTGCTCTCTCCTGCTTTATGAATTCGCTGTGGCTCAACCCGCTCAAACGAAAATCGGTGTATGTTTATTAATGTTTGTATTTATGTGTTTGTTGCTCTAAGTTCTCTGGTTCTCTGCGAAAATTTATGGAGATTTCGAGAAGAGTCAAGATGCCTTTTCTAGTAAATTCGCTCTGTGTCTGATTTGATATAAATAGCGGTGTAGAGTTTCTCTGCCGTATAGTTTGAATTGAGAAATCAAAGTGAATGAATTAAAAGTTAGCTAAACCAATTTAGCAAAACAAAAACGCAAATCTTAAAAAAAAATTTAACCAGTGTTTTGAAAAAAATTTGAAAATAGTAAAGTTTTAATAAACATTATACATATATTAAACGAAACATCACATAAAAATGGTTGCAATTGGAATTGATTTGGGAACAACATACTCCTGCGTTGGAGTCTTCCAACATGGTAAAGTGGAAATCATTGCAAACGACCAAGGTAACCGCACAACACCCAGCTATGTGGCATTCACAGATTCAGAGCGGTTAATCGGAGACGCCGCGAAAAATCAGGTTGCCATGAACCCAAAGAACACAGTTTTCGATGCAAAACGTTTGATTGGACGAAAATATAATGACCAAAAAATTCAGGCTGATATGAAGCATTGGCCTTTTACGGTGGTTAACGACTGCGGGAAGCCGAAGATCAGTGTAGATTTTAAAGGTGAGCAGAAGAGCTTTGCTCCAGAAGAAATCAGTTCTATGGTGTTGACAAAAATGAAGGAGACTGCTGAGGCATACTTGGGAGCAACGGTGAAGGATGCAGTAATTACAGTACCAGCTTACTTCAACGATTCACAGCGTCAAGCTACAAAAGACGCTGGTGCCATTGCTGGACTGAATGTTCTTCGAATTATAAATGAACCAACAGCAGCAGCTTTGGCGTATGGTCTGGACAAAAATCTAAAAGGCGAACGCAATGTGCTCATATTCGATTTAGGAGGTGGTACCTTTGATGTATCAATTCTGACAATTGATGAGGGCTCATTGTTCGAAGTGCGAGCCACAGCTGGCGATACACATTTGGGTGGTGAAGATTTTGACAACCGACTAGTCAACCATTTTGCAGAAGAATTCAAGCGAAAATATAAAAAGGACTTGCGATCGAATCCACGATCATTGCGCCGTTTACGTACAGCAGCCGAAAGAGCGAAACGCACTTTGTCATCCAGCACAGAAGCCAGCATAGAAATTGATGCTTTATATGAGGGCGTAGATTTCTATACAAAAATAAGTCGAGCACGCTTCGAAGAAATGTGTGGTGATTTGTTCCGCAGTACTTTGGATCCAGTGGAAAAGGCTTTGAATGATGCCAAAATGGACAAAAGTCAAATCCACGATATTGTTTTGGTTGGTGGTTCCACTCGCATTCCTAAGGTACAAAGTTTGCTACAAACATTCTTCGGCGGAAAGAATTTGAATCTTTCTATCAACCCAGACGAGGCGGTAGCATACGGTGCAGCGATTCAAGCAGCAATTTTAAGTGGAGATAAGAGTAGTCAAATTCAGGACGTACTTTTAGTAGATGTAGCACCATTGTCGCTTGGAATTGAAACTGCTGGTGGAGTTATGACAAAACTAATCGAGCGAAACAGCCGTATTCCATGCAAACAATCTAAAACCTTTACAACTTATGCGGATAACCAACCAGCTGTTACCATTCAAGTATTTGAAGGCGAAAGGGCTATGACCAAAGATAACAATCTGCTGGGCACATTCAATTTAAATGGCATTCCGCCAGCACCGCGTGGTGTGCCAAAAGTAGATGTAGTTTTCGATTTAGATGCCAATGGAATTTTGAATGTGACAGCTAAGGAGATGAGCACCGGAAACGCTAAGAATATTACCATTAAGAACGATAAAGGACGTTTATCTCAGGCCGACATCGATCGCATGGTTAATGAAGCTGAAAAATATGCCGACGAGGATGAAAAACAACGACAACGTATTGCTGCGCGCAATCAACTCGAAAGTTATGTATTTAGTGTTAAACAAGCAGCTGAGGAAGCTGGTAGTAAACTAAGTCAATCGGACAAAAATCATGTCCTGGAGAAGTGCAACGAGACGGTTAATTGGTTGGATGCCAATACCACAGCCGAAAAAGAAGAATACGAGTATAAGTTGGAGGAGTTAACAAAAATCTGTAGTCCAATTATGACAAAGATGCACCAACAAGCAGGCGGTCCGCAGCCAAGCAACTGCGGTCAACAATCTAGTAATTATGGAGGAGGCAATTACGGTGGCCCAACTGTTGAAGAAGTTGACTAAATGCCATTTTAGAGTATTAAAAACTCATGAGTATGTTTATAATTGTTTGTTTATAAAATGCTAAAATACTGTCAAAAATGTTAATTTATTGGTATTGAATTTAATATTTAAGTTGCATAAAATAGTGATAATTAAAGAAACTTTTTCAGTTTGTAATTTACTAAACGAGTTAAACATTAATGATCGCTTTGTTAATTGTTGTTAAAAATTAGATACATATGTATATGCTCTTAAAGCAAATTTGGTTTTGGTGTGTGTACACTTGCATTAAGCTTACGTAGTACGAATATAAATCAGGACCAATATGAGTCAGAAAGTGGAAGGCGCCGGTCCACAGCTAAGTAGTTGCGGCCATCAATCCTGAAATGAATACGACGGACCAGTTGTTGAGGGCGTAGACTAAGGCGATTGTATTAAAAATATGTATTACAATTATTTAAATGTTATAATGACTGATTACTGATTATAAATATTTACATATGTATGTGTATAGCATTTATATGTATAATAACAGTTCTAATTTATTTAATTTAAATTGAATGCTCTTATACAACTTTGTGATTAGTTCGAAAATTAAAATAATAAAATATCTGGTTATGCATTTCAAAAATTTGTTTTTTATTCAAATACAATAATGTCAAGATGTCTTAATACATTCCATTGTATAGTGGAAAAACTTTTATTTCTTTTCCATCTTTTGCTTCAGTTTGTGGCTGTTTACTCAAATATCCAACATTAGCTCGTATTGATTTCTATTTATTCCTAAAACTGAATATAGAAGATGAGTGGTCAGTTTTATATGACATGAAGACAAATGAAAGACAACAAGGTCATGTGAAATCATACTTAAAATATTTTTGGGATTCGACCCTCGCACATTATATATATACATACATTTACAATAAAAATTAAAATATAAAAATATAAATTAAATTTTTGGTGTTGTTTTTATAAAAACGAAGATATTTTGATTATGAGCATTAAGCTTAAAAACAAAATACTTTTATTTTGTATAGAAAATACATACATATTTACACTTTAATAATGGCTTAAACATACACAGCTTTATATACATATGCATGAATGTATATATCTGAACAAAAAGATTTAGACAATTTTTAAAAATAGTAAATAGTATGTATGTACATACTTACATATGTGTGTATACATTTTAAGTACAATAAATTTATCTAAAAAACACATACAGACGTACAAGTATGGGTGATTTATAAATACCAAAAAATAAAATAAACTAAAATAAAATAGAAATAAATAAATCGTAAACAGTTAATGCGTGTATAATTTATACCAAAGTTACATAGAAATTACATAAAGCTAATAGCGTTGCTCATCATCTTTGGTATTAGCCGCCACTTCTGTGGCATTTGTAATCGTGGATACAGAAAGCTGATGGGTGGGCCTAAAATCAGAATGGTGCAGTTAAGAGAATATAAAAAGAAATTGAGTGCATTTAAAATTGTCATATATGTAGGTAGGAATGTAAGTAGGTTTGTTTAATTTAGAATATTGTTTATTATGTACTTATGTAAGGTATGAATTATGCATGAGAGCATTTTTAAGGTACGTAAATTTATTTATTTATTATTAATTTACAGAAATATTCTTTTTTAAGAATTATGTGCTTAATGAAATAACATAACATAAATATATATGTATATTATATTTACAAATGAGTATGAGTGCGATGAATAGGATGAACAAATTTTCGTGTTATTTACATGTATTTTGCTGATTTTGCCGATATGGCAAATAATGGAAAATACCTGTAAAGTATATAGTGTTGCACAATAAACACAATATCGAATATGACCGAGAATAGCCCCATGCCGAATTTCGTAAAAGAACCAAAAATTGATACCCAATCATCTGGAAGAATGTTTTTTTTTATAGAAAAAGTTATTATTATTGTTTATTAAAATTTTCATTAATTGTCCAAATGAAAAGTTACCGTAATTGTAAGCATTCAAAATCATCTGCAACATACTCAGTGTGCCCCCAGTAAAGTCCAATAGAATATTACCAATACTCCAACCGATAGTGCTCTTGCGGCGATAGTTCATTAGAACCTATCAGTGAAAACCAATGAATTATATAAAGAAAAAAAAAAACATTACTGATATTTTTCTTCACTTACTTGCGGTATATATTTTATAATCATTGCTAATTTGATGTAACTACAGTAATATAGAAAATCCAGCCATTGCGAAACACCAACTGCAGCAAGAATTAATGTGACCAAAACAATTATAGCAATGCCACCCAAAATACATGATGCGGTTTTTGAGACCCTTTGATCGGAGCGCTGCAATAAGAGTTATAAAAATTATGACAATACATACATACGCCATGACGAGGTAAATTTCCTATAAGAAATCTTGATTTTCATGCGCAAGCTGAATGTAAAATTAAAATAATGCGACTTACTCAAAAAATTGTAGTGCTTTCAAATAAAAATTAAATTCTCTAAAATTAAAGAAGACCGAGAACACTATTCGCTTCAATTTGTATTCTTAAAAATGTTCCAGAAAATGTTGGCTGCGTTAGTTCAAAAAATATATATATACATACAATTTTCAAAAACATTTTTGCACAAAAAGAAACCTTTAAAAGGGAATCACTTGATATGATGAATATTTAAAACTAACACCAAAGACTAAGACATCAAATAGTTGCCTCTAAGCCGCAGTCCTTTACGAATATCGACACTTACTTACCTCATAAATGAAACACTGGATAATTGTTATGATTGTGGCAAACATGGCATGCAAGCCAAATACAACATCATTCAATAAGACCGGATTTAGACCACGCGGATGCCGGCTGGCATATTCAGCTTGTATATTAGAATTCCAGTAGAGACCACAATTAAAAACACTGTACAGCGTAAAACCGACTATGTTGAGAGCGAGAAAGTCAAAATTGAGGCCCACAACGGATTTTCGCTTAAAATTAATATATATTTGTGGATAAAATGATATAGACCATGCCACAAAGTAAATCCAACCAAATACGATTGATGTGTAAATCACAGCCTCTGAATTTGCAACGGTAATGCGCACAAATAAATCCTCAACACTGGAAAGAAAAATAAAACGAATAATGTGTGTATAAAGTAAATATTTGTATGTATATATCTACAAAAAAACTTACATCCATGCATCATTGGGCACACTCTCCGCTGTAATCTCTAAATGACCCGGTCGAACACCGAGTACGTCAACAGTTATATTTTTTGGATTCGATGCACTGATTGAAAAGTAATTCGGTTCTAATTCGACTAGAGCTTCATGCTGTTTTTTTAATTGGACGAAAACGTCGCTGGGTAGAGGATCGCTGAGTTGTTTAAAATAAATGAAAATTATATAATGATAATTTAGGTAAGACAAAAAAAAAACAAACAATTTTTTCCTGAATTAAAACTAATTATGTATGAAATAATAAAGTTAATTGTATTTTAATAACTCACTACACTAAAACATCAAATGATTTCGTTTTCTCCACAAGGATTACGAGATCATGCGTAGAGACAGTTAATCCGGTGCTACTGCCGGCTGTAGTGGTTCCTTCCTCGGCGACTGCTTGTGTGAGAAAAGCTAGAGGAAACATGCAGACATCATAAAATAAAGATTATAAAGGTAAATTATTTATGTGCATTTCTTTTTTGTTACTCACCTGCTATTAATATCACAAATAATACAGATTTTGTGTACCGGGGTATACTGTGGTCGCAGCTTGGATTTCGCATTTTTGTACTCATTGTCTCTTACGCAATTATTCTGCAAGACAAGTGAGAGACGTAATTAGTATGAATCAATTGAATTAATTAAAATTAAAAATTAATGAATAGATAAAATAATAAAAAAATTAAAATACTTAAATAAATATAAAGCTTATTGTATTTCGTTTTAGTATTAACTAATAATTTTCATATCTGAAGAAATGGTTGGAGGGGGCAGGGGGCTATGTGATAAATTCCAGTATATAACAAATTAAACCGATTTCAAGTGATTTTTTGATGGATTTTTTTTTCCGAAAACCTCATTTTTGAACAAATTGGTTGTATGAGGTCTCCATGACATGGTCCTTTGATTTCGAGTTAGGGATTTTCAGTTACAATGTGTAATTAATCATATGTGTGCAGATGCTCAAATCTGAAAAATCTGTTCTATAAATGCTATAGTGGCCCGATCGTTTAAATGTATCAGTGCAGCTTAGTACCAACTTTGGTTGAAATATCTCAAAAACTGAGGAATAAGCTCCATACAAAGAGTTAGACAGACGTCTGCCTGGGTAAAATCAACGCATACATTCATCATGCTGACCCGATCGGCATACATTTTTTGCAGTCTACCTCTTCACCTTCTTGTACTTACATACTTCGAGCCAAAGTTAATGTCCCATTTCATGTACACGGTGTGTCCTAAAAATAACCGAACTTCATATTTAAATCATACAACATACAGCGCCATCTATTGAAAATTTGCAACATTAAAAAGATACATTCATCCTCTTTCAAACGTACCTAACTTCATGTAAGTCGGATGACAAATGTAAAAGTGACAGACATTTCAATAAAACCAAAAGTGTGTTAATGGTTCAAAAGTGTAAATGACGACCAAAAAATCGCTCGCGTGGAGCCTTTGCAAAGACATTATTGAAACTGCTGAAAACGATCCAGACTTCCTTGATTCGATCATAACTGGTGATGAGACATGGTGCTTTAAATATGACCCTGAAACTAAGCGTCAATCTGCTGAATGGAAGTCCAAATTGCGTTTTCAGAGGTCTCGAATCAATTTTAATTACTTTTTATGATTCGAAGGGTATTGTCCACAACGAATTTGTTCCAGAAGGTCAAACTTTTAATGGAGAATACTATTTAGGCGTTTTACATCGTTTGTGGACAAGAATCGGTCGTGTTAGACCAGAATATCTAACAGGAAAACAGCTGTTTTTATTGTACTATAATGCACCACCTCACAAGACCAAAAAAGTGAACGAATTTTTAATGAAAATAGGGATTTCTCTCATCGTCCATCCTCCGTATTCGCCTGATCTATCACCATGTAACTATTTTTTATTTCCAAAACTGAAAACCAAGATAAAGGGAGCATTTTATGATGATATCCCAGCCATTCAAGCATCCATAACCGAGGTACTGAAGAACATCTCTATAAATGACATAAAAAAATCTATGCATGCGCTGATTGATCGTTCCAAACGTTGTGTTGAGTCAAATGTAATCTATTTTGAATAAATAATAACTTACAAAGATAATATGATATATATACAATATATCCAAAAAGTTCGGTTCTTTTTGGGACACGCCGTGTATGTATACGAATGCTTTTAAAGAGTTTTGTGATTTTTCGAGAAACAATCCCGACGCACAAAATCTGGAAATACAAAATCCCAAAAGGCCTAATCCACATACGACAAACTACAGTTATTCTAAAGCATTACAAAATTTCATAAAAATAGTCATTGTAAGTTGAAAAAAAAAAAAACAAAATAAAATTAAAAATACATTTTTCAAGAATTCTAGAAATGAAAAAATATTTTTAGACCCAGAGAGGAATAGTTGGAACAAATCCTTATTTGTAGTGAGGATTAAACTAAAAAGTGAAAGCTTTTAAAATAACCTTTCCGTTTTGAAAATTATTTTCCGAAAAAATAACGATATTCCATCCTAAGTAATTTTGTACACAATGTGTCCCAGCAAAAAAAAGGTATAATATTCATGTATATTATATTATATATACATATACAAAGTTTTCCAAAGACAAACAAAATGCATTTCAATAAAATATTTTTTTAATAAAAATTCCTTTTTTATTATAAAAGTGTTTGCTTCGACATTATATGTGAATCACTACGTCATCCAAATGCCCCCTCGAGAATTTTTGCAAACCTCGATCCGTTTGTGTTAATTTTCGACCCTTCTCTGGTACATAATAGTTGATGTCTCAACCCATAACTTTACCAATGTGAAGTTTCACGAACTCAGGAGTTAAAAGTTTATCCGCATAAACACGACCTTTCGCGTAGCCCCACAAAAAAAGTCCCACGTTGTCAAACCACCGCGTCGTGTTCTTCAATTGCGGGCTAAAAAAAAAAAGGTTGGCTATCACGACCATAACGCTTCGACTTTACTGTGAAAGTCTCGCCGTTGTCGTTTTGAATGAAATAAAGTCCAATCATATTTAACGATCAAAGAGTTCACCAGACATTGCGCTTTTTTATGATGGAATTATCTCTCTTCAATTATTTGAGGATTATCGGAATCCTAAATGCGACAATTTTGTTTATTTCAATTTCTCCCGAGTGAGAAATGTGCCCCGTGGATAAAAAAAATTTTATTTGAGAAATCTACATCCTTTACTACAAACACCCAATTGACTTATATCAGCTGGTTTCAGTTGTTCTGTGAGCTGGATCTTACATGCATGTAGATGTGGGTCCAAGTGCAAAAAACACCATAATTTTCGGTAAGAAAGTCCGAGCTCTTAAGAACGTCGTGTGAAATAGACACATTCGGGTCCTCGGTTACACTTTCTCCTGCAGTAGGAATATTTGAGGTGGAGTGAGCAAAACCATGTTGCACAACTCTAACAATATCTTTAACCAAACTGTACCGGTCTTAAAATCTCTTTCAATTTGTACAATTTCTTGAGTTGTTGAACGATTATGTTCTCTCTTTAAAGCAGGAAACATTTGATTTTTAGGTTTTTTTTTTACAATTTTAACGCCTTTTTACAATTTTAAACGCCTTATGCGGTTGTCAAGCGAGCCCTTTCCATAAATGCCTGACTTTTTACTAAAACAAAACATGTTTGGTTTGACAATTAAGTTTGACAGATGTCAAAATAAAACCGTATACTTTTGAAACCACGAAATCGATAACCCTATATAACATATTGTATGTATTTATGTATCGATATTAACATTTATAATCTAATGATTTCATTTAATGATTTCAAGATAATGCCCAGTGTATATATGCATGTACGTATGTACTCGTATGTTTGTATAGGATGTAAGCACAAATGCACTCTCCCTAATTAAACGATGGTTAATGAGTGTATACATTTTACTTTTATATTATTTCCCTAATGTTTTTTTTCCGAGAATCTCCTGGGACCGCAAACTACTTTTTACTTTTGTTGTATATTACAAAATACTAATGCTATATATGTATGTATGTAGATATAGATATTTCATATTGTTTTCAAATTGCAATTATTTGAAGTGTTTACCGAGTATATGTATGTATGCATGTACATTTGAACAGCTGTAGGATTGTAGATATGTACATACATACATACATATGAACGTATGTATATAGATATATTCCTTCACAATGCACCACGTCAAAGTGCGGAAATTCTCAACAATTGAATCAATTAATCTGAACGAAGTGCGTCTGGATTGTTAAAGAGTGCAAATATATGAAAGTGTATTTATTGATTGCCCTCATAATGTTAAATAGTGGACATACCTACATACACTCATACAGACATATATTTTTGTATGAAGCTTATATAAACCTAACGCACAACCGATTTATTATAAATTGTTGGCGAAAAAAAAAACGATTAAAAAGTAATTAAGTGATTAGTTTGCCCGTAGACCCAGATCATCTAACAAGCGTAACGGTAAAATAGAAAAGTATATTAGAAAGATGACCGGAAATAAGTTGTGTGCGGATCAGGGCAGGGCCAGAATGTCAACTTTCTGAGAATACCATAATACGTTCCAAGTTAAAGTGCGCTTCAAAGAGAGAGAAACGCTAAAAATATTTTCAAGACTATGTCCATCATCTGTAATTTATAGAAAATTTGCTATAGAGTAGACCGATTACAAAAATCAATTTTTAATTTTTAGAGTATAAAGAAAGTGGTGGTACACACAATCAGAAAAAAAAAACACTTCAGGGAAAATTGATAAATTCTTTGCTGATCTTGCAAGATGGGAATTTAAATTAACTACTTTGCTGATTCCACCACTTTACACTCCAAAACTCCACAAATCACATTTACGCGCATACATATTATAGTAAAAAAAAAGTTATTTTTAATAATTAAATGCGGTGAAGGTTTTTGCTGTAAATTTGAACAATAATTTATTATAAAAAAATTCGAAGATTTTCAGATGTTAATTAACGGGTTCAATAAATCTAGTATCTATTTGGGAGATGTTTAGATTAAACCAAAAAAACTTTGTTTTACTTCATTTAGAACGTTTCTTATGAGGAGCTTTAAAAGCTCTTACCAAAAGTTTTATTGAAAACAAGACTGGAGAGGCTAAGTTTGGGTGGAATCCCATAATAGACATTTTTTATACTCTTCCCGCTAAATTTGAAGCAGAAAAATCAATTTGACTGACTAGACTCATTTCCAGCACGATGGCTATGTCAATAAGAAAAACTGTCGCAACAGACGCTAGAAAAACCCAAGATTGATTGATGAAAAGCCTTTCTAGCCTCAACAAGTAAGTAACAAGCTGCGCTATCGAGATAAGAATATTGATTTTTTATGGTCGTAATTGGATGGCATTGATCTGGATAGCGTTTACTTTCAACAAGATGGCGCTACATGCCACACGAGCCACGAAACCAACGATTCTTTAAGGGAAAAGTGTCTTTGAATATCAAAATGAGACCTCTTATTGCTAAACCCTTTATATTTCAAAGTTTTAGTTATATTTGAAAATATCAGATCCAACCTTTATTGAAAGCTTTCGGGATGAAATTTTTTCCGATCTTTTTCCAAAATAT